TGGTGTTCATTTTACACTATCAACAGAATTATGAGCTTAGTAACTCCTAAATTTGTTTAAAATTTATTTCAAACTCATATACAATAAATGGAGAGTGTGCCCATTGGACACAGATGATGCCCCGCTTGCATATAACGTTATATATAAAGGGACATAACTAGAGAGATCTAAAAGTGACGCCACCCAAATTCGAACTTGATCTGTGTTTTATGGTAATAAGCATTGTGTATAATTTCATAACATTTGGTTGAGGCAAACTAAAGTAAGAGAACGGATATTTATAAAGGAGCATAACTCTAGAACGGTAAAAGTGAAGCCATCTAAATTCTAATTTGATCTGTGTTTTGTGGTAATAAGCATTGTGCATAAGTTTCATAACATTTGGTGGCGGCAAACTAAAGTTAGAGAACGGAAACTAATTTTGGGACGTACGTACGTACGAACGAACGGACGTTCAGACGGACAAGTAGATCGTGTGGTTATATCTGATGGATGTATAACAAATGATACTGTTTCTTCAGTTTGAAAAAGCAGGAATTGAAGACATATATGAAAAAAAATTGTGACACCAAAATGAACCTCTATAAATATATCGACGCATGCATAGATATTATGTAAACTGTAATATTTCAAACTTGTGTAAATTGTTGTTGATAATATTTGGATTGTCTAATGATATTTATTCTAACTAACTGTTATTTGTTCCTTTTCAGGTCTTGAGGTCATCCGAATGTGTATGAACCAAAGACTGCTTCATCTATGCGGACGTATATAATAAGACAAGTTTGAATCATAAACGACAGTGTCAATAATTTGACGCTCTTCTTTTGCTTTGTAAACAAAAGTATGTTCTAATTCTAATAAAACACGATGTGCACGTGTGTGGCAGGATAATTTTTTGTGGATTGAATATTCATTTGCATCTGTTGTTACGCATACATATTTTTTGTTCTCACTTATATATACTATTATCTCCTGCATTTTGTGTTGCAGACTATTCATTTTCATAGTGTCTTGAGCAAGACAATTTACTTTCAATTCTTTCCATGCCATGATGAGTTTATTTAGAATATAGTATCATTTTATATTATAGAAAATGTTATTGTACATTTGAGTATGATTTTATTGAATTCAATATAACAATCATTGAATATTATTCAGGAATATCTGAATATAATTCGGTGTGAATAACAGGAGGGTTGAAATACAAAACTTAAAACCATACAGAGGAGAAAGGCACCAGAATAGAAAATTGAACTCAAGGGTTTGAAACAAAACAAAAGGATAGTGATTTTAGGTAATCGTACGGTTTTCAACACTGAGCAAAACTTATACCGTATAGTCAGCTATAAAAACCCGGAGAAAACAAAATGTTCAACAATTTAAGCGAGAAAACTAAAGGTTTTGTTTATGACAAAACAATCCTCGTAAAACAAGTATGCCAGCTATGAACCGAACTACAGGCTTCTGGTATAATTTTGCAGTCTCAGATCTTTAGATACCAGTATAGTCGACTGATCTGTTATTTAACCGATTGTGTCCTATTCCCTGATTGTTATATTTGAAGTGTGAATTCATATGGCGGTTTGTATGCATAGCAGGAGACGCTTACCCTGTCGACACACCCGGCTTCGATCATTTAGTTCATGTAATTCCCTGTGGTTTTGTTTGTTATCATGAATTGAGCATCGATAAACATCTGTAGCCTTTATTTGGGACAGGCACATGAAGGCACACCATGTTTGTGAGAGCGTAACCCTGCAATAACCCGGGGCAGTGGTGTAACAGCACAACACTAGAACAAGCTGTACAAATAAGTTGGAAATGGTAAACTCAATAGATTGGAACGAAGCACAAACACGCATATCACATAAAATACAGAAGACATTAACCACCAATGTGAGAGTACTCGCCATTACTTAAAGCTAGTTAAAAGCCAATGTGCTTTGTCTATTTGCCATTTCGTTCTTCTTTGTTGACATATTTGTTTGTTTTTATAGTGACCAAGATTATAATACAATATTACCTACTGTTCCCCTATTTTTGACATTTTTTTACCTATTATGTCTGTTTGTTTTGTTCACACATTGTGGTCAATCTAATGGAATTTTATGCGACTATCATACAACTGAGAGGTTTAGCTAGCTATAAAACCAGGTTTAATCCACCATTTTCTACATAAGGAAATGCCTGTACCAAGTCGGGTTTCATTTTGCCATTTGATAAGGGACTTCCCGTTTTGAATTTTCCTTGGAGTTCGGTATTTTTGTTATTTTACTTTTTACAACTAATAAATACTAGTACTAGTAAGTCATGTTCTCCGAAAAAAAACATCAATCAATATATATATCCATCGGATTTAGTGAAAAGACGTCATAAACATGCTGAGAAAATCATGACCTTGACAAAATATAAGTGAACAGTATAAAAAGAAAAAGGATTATAAGTATTCGTAACTGTTTAGCAGTTTAAAAATACTGTTTAAACAAAGTTAGAAGTTAATTATCTCATGGTTTTGTTTAAGTTGTGAAATGAACAGTTTTCTCAATATATATTAAATGGGCACTAGCTGTCAAATTCATGTTCACCGATTTGACTCAATTTCTCATATTTGATTTATAACAAAGTAAAACATTTATCCAAATCATAAAAAGTCTAAAATAAACAATATTCCGAGCATGGGCTCGATAATATGTAGCTTCGTTTCGTGTGTATTTTAGTCTATATCGATCTCTAGCCAAGGGGTTAAATTGAAGTTCACATGAATACGGATTCAATGAGGTCGAATTATTCACTTGCAAGTGAATAATTCATCCTCAATGTTTCTTAGCTTATTTTGAGAATTGAACCATACTGGCTGCTTAAAGCGATATATTATTTCAATATTTCACTTTCATTAATGATTGAACAAAAAAAAACGTATTTTATATTTCTTATATATCTCGTAGCTGCTAGTGCCCCTTTAACAGATGATGGAATAAACTGTTGAGAGGAGGAGTGATGACATGTCTGAATTATTTGGTACATTAATGACCATTTAAATCACTTGCAGGTAATAATTTGTAGAACATACGCACAAAGTATTGTTGTCATCTGTTTTTTAATTTTTTTTTAAACTGCTTATGTGGAAAATTTAGACTTGAATAACACATAATTAAGAAACTGGTCACATATGTGTTATGATAGAAGTTTATTATGAGTTCACATCCATGGGAAAAATTCTGGTTATAACTGACAAATGAGGAATGAATTACTTTCTCTTTGTGGAAGGGAAAGTTGTCATTGTTTTATTTTTGTATGGCATTTTGCATAGTTTTTCAGAACAAGAATGCATATGCTGAAATGGCTCGCCTGCTTTACTTATCATAATAGAAGTTACTTGTATGTTGAAAGTCTGTTACAAGAAGGCTTTTCTACAAGTATCACATACAATTGATATAAATTATAAATTATCAATGTAAATGAGTCAAGGTCAGATGAACACTGCCGGACAGACATAAATAGTGATCAAAGGTACCAGGCTTATAATTTGATACGCCAGACTCGCGTTTCGTCTACATAAGACTCATCAGTGTTGCTCAGATCAAAATAGTTAGAAATCAAAAACAAGTACAAAGTTGAAGAGCATGTAAAAAGATGTGGTATGATTGCCACTTTACAATCATACCATACACAAAATATAATTAGCCTATTGCTTTTAGTATCTAAAATACAGACCTAATTAAGAACACTGATCATTGACCAATGCACCATAAAAATGGGGTCAAGGTCAGATCAAACCTCCCAGACAACATGTACACTATGCAATCATTCCATACACCAATCATAGTTGACCTATTGTTTATGGTACATCGTGTATCTTGGAAACAGACATATCCATGAACACTTTTAATATTGACCAATAAACCATGAAGACGAGGTCACGGTCAGAGGAAACCTGCATCAGACATGTACATCAAATTTACCAATAGGACCCTTTGGTTCAGTAGATTCCTATTGTAGCCCTGGGATATCATACCAACTGGGAGATATATACTCCAATATGCAGGCATTGCTGGAATGACCTCAATACTTCTGTTTTTTTTGTTGGGTTGAGGTCTCATTAGCGTGTAACCCACACCTCATTTTGTTCTCATTTATCAATGGAACTACCTTTAAACTGTTCTTTTGTGAGTTGTGGAAAGTTCTTTAAAAGTCATCTTAATAACTATGCTATCAGATCTTTGTATACTTTTGTCAGTACAAACTTTAATTTTTGTCAAACCTACGGACCTGAGGTAAGTAAATATAAGAAGATGTGGTATGAGTGCCAATGAGATAACTCTCCATCCAACAAGTCACAAATTGTAAAAGTAAACCATTATAGGTCAAAGTACGGCCTTCAACACAGAGCCTTGGCTCACACCGAACAACAAGCTATAAAGGGCCCCAAAAATGACTAGTGTAAAACCATTCAAAGACGAAAACCAACGGTCTAATCTATATAAAAAACGAGAAACGAGAAACACTTAAGAACCACATCAACAAATGACAACCACTGAACATCAGGTTCCTGACTTAAAACAGATGCAAACAAATGCAGCGTGTTTAAACTTTTAAAAGGCACAAACCTTAACCCTACCTGAAATAATAGTGTAACATCACAACATAGAAAGACACACTATAACATATCAATTGAAATGGCTTAACTCAATTAAGACCCATTTCAGCTAGTGTTGACAAATCAGAGTTTTGTAGCACCACTGTCCCAGGTAAGGGAAGGGTCGAGTGTGTAAAATCTTATTCACGATACCAGGTTTAAATTTTGAAACGACCGACACATGTTTCATCAGTGGAACTCGAATCAAAACAGTTGAAGGTCCAAATCAAATACAAAGTGAAAAGGCATTAAAAACTGAAAATTCCAGAAAGGTTATGCCAAATACGACAATATATTCCTAGAGGTAGAACACATAAGTGGTTCGAATTATTCAACATTTTATTAACAATAAACCATGACATACGATGTTTTTACTTCTTTATTGTAAAAAAATTGAAAGAACAAAATATAATGCTCCATCATCATAAAAAATCATTTCAATGAACATGCAACTCATTTAATATGTTCTAAAAATAGAAATGTAGTAATATATATATGTATATATATATTTATACCAAATCTGTATATATAAATACATAACAACCCGTTATTTTTGTTTCCAATTTACACAATAACACATAATTAGTCATCAACATTTTTTTTTTAATCTACTGTTACTTATTTCATTTCAAAAACAAAGTGAACACATAAAGATTACATTGTTATAGTTTTCATCAAATTATTTTAAAATCACCGCTTAAATCTATTTTTTTCTCAAATAATAAAATCATGTTTCATTACCTCCTGGGTAACCAGAAAAAAAATCAAATCTAAATACAATACTGTATATAAAACAAAAGAGAAAAAGGGAAACTTAATTGCTAAATGAAATTACTTAAGATATTCTATAGTGAATAGTAAAACCTAATAAATGGAAGAGGAAGGCAATCAAAAAAATTTGTCAACTCAACAAAACACTGAATAAAGGAAGATGTACATGTCATGCTAAATGTGATATGAATTTGTTGATCTATTTAATAATTTACAGAAAATATTTAGTTACAGGGAAATTCTAGTGGCGATTTTATCTTGGCACAAGTTTGACCATGTTAATTACTACTAAAATTGTCATGAAATAAATAACGGTGATATCACTGCTACTCTGAGATGAAGAACAGCATTAAAACCATTGTTCCTTTGCATTGCGATTTGTGGAGTACATGTAGATATTTTGTGTCATATCCTTTCTTTACCTTTATAAAGAAACTTAAACAAACAAGAAGATAGATAGAAAGAAAGAAACATCAATTTGTGAAGTACATGTAGGTATTTTGTGTCATATCCTTCCTTTACCTTTATCAAGAAACTTAAACAAACAATAAGATAGATAGAAAGAAAGAAACATCAATGAAGCCTGAGTACAACTACGCCATTAATAAAATAATAAAATAACAAAAGCTTTAAAATCAGAACCACAAAGTAAGATATTATAACAATAACTAACAACTGGCAGTACAATCTACATGTATAATCAATGCTGCATTTTATAGTAAATTATCTCCCCTCATTAAGGGGATAAAACCAACAGTACCAATGGATTGTTCTCTGAATGGTATGGTGTATTAGATGACTGAAATAATGAAAATAATTCATTTATTTCAGATGAGTACATTTAATTTGATAATACAGTTGTTGATGCATACTATATAATATGTCAAACCAAAAATGTTCTACTAAAACATTAAAAGTACTCCAAACCTAACATTAATCGTTACTCTATTTCTATAGAACATAGAACAAATAAAACTGTTAGGAAGGATTGGAAAACAAGTGACTAGTCACCAATATAAATAACACATAGATGAGAGGGGGATAGAGCAGATTGTAACCCCAAGAAAAACATGTCAACTGAGGCGAAGCCGAGGTTGACAATGTTCATTCGAGGGGTACCAATCTGCTCTATCCCCCTATATGCTATGTGTTATTTAATTTATTATATTGACTGTTCTATCATTGTTGTCTTTTTTAAAAATTGAAAGTACTATGACATCGCGTACATAACAACGTTACAGTTATTAGAATCAAAGCATTTTTGGTGCTGTGATCCAGCCATTTTTGAGCTATGGGTAGTCCAACATTTTTTCTGATCTCATTTTTAATCAAATTTGTTCACTGACGGAAAGACTGGAAGAGTTGTGTGTATAATTTAGAATCATATTCTCAGGTATTGTGATGAACAAAAAAAAATTTGATATATCAAACTTGCATTAAATTCAGAATGATTTTAGGATTTTTTTTTAAAGTTGATAAAACTAGCTTGTCTCCCTAAATTTACTCATCTTAAAATCATTTATTGATTTTTGATAAAAATTATATGACACTAAACATGAATGGATTTATTTCATTTCCCTAATCTAATTCAAAAAATTGTAGTCAATGGCCTAAAGATGTAGAATTTCTCAGCATTGATACAATTGTTTTGATATTTCAATTTTTAGAAGGGGTACTGATTTTTTATATCTTCTTTTTTTCAATTAAATAATTTTGGCATGATTAGGAACAAAAATCCTCAAATGAAGGTGTAGTTTATTTATTTTTTTTTCGTTGAAGTTTGACTTAATAATTTCCTGAAAGAGGCATTAAAAATGCGCTTTTTCAGTAACAAATATTAAAGAAATACTTTTTCAATTTAAACTGATGTTCTTATTTTATTGAGAAAAAATGATTTCCTGTATTCAAATATCCATGTAAAAATACCTTACACTGTTAGATAGCAATATAGGTTAGAGATAAGCAATTTTGTTTAATGATTAAAGGAAAGTAATGATAATAGTAACTTAAATTAACCTAAATTATTGACTAATATTAGATGTATATAACAATGATTTTACAAGTACAAGTAAAATAGACCCTGCTTGCATTTGTTATACATATTTTGTTTTTTGTCTTTCCTTTGCAAAAGATGCATCTTTTTAATCATAATCATCATTCATTTATGAGACATAATTTACAGAATAATTTTATGTAGTATAGATCAAAAGTGATTGAAGACACAATTAGTGAGGTCAGTATTGTGTATTCAATTATGTAATACAAGATATATTTACTCTGGTCTGATCAGATTGGCATTAAAGTGGAGGTGATCCAGTTAGGGTAATTCTTTGTAAATTATGACAGTTATCTATCATACTTTACTGTATCTGTACTCTTACTTGCCTAAGGAAGGAATTGGAATAATAGCATTTCAAAAAAGTGTGGGAATCAACTTTGATATCAATACACATCTTGTACAAAATTTTATTCAAGAACTTACACAAGCATAAGATATTGATAAAAATACTTTCATAAATCTTACCAACTGATTAAATTTAATACATTACTTTTTCACATTAATTCATAAATAGTAGTTTATTATAAATTTTGATTCACAACGGAACTATATATGCAAGTGTAATTATAAAATAAAGCACCTGTTCGCCCAATATTTTCTTAATTTAAGGGCAAATAACGTCAAAAGTTGGCAGTAGATGATTAAAATGGTTCATAATAAATTGCTTCGCCGAGCGCAGCTGGATACGACCGCAGAGGTCCAACCCTGAACAGTTGGGGCAAAAATGGACGCAATATTGATACAGGTCTGAATTTGGATTGTAATTAAATATTTGACACATAAAAGGTTTCTGACACAGAATAACTGTAGTCAATGAACTTAGAATTGGTTATATGATTTGAATTTATATTCAATTTTTTGCTTTTGTGCAATACACTTTGCTGTTGCGAATTGACCCTCCCCCCACAAAAAAAAATAAAAAAATCACCCCCCCCTTTTTTTTGCTTTTGTGCAATACACTATGCTGTTGCCTATTAACCAATGTGTCTTTGGATGACGACGACGCCAACATCATACCAATATACGACCGCAAAATTTTTTTGCGGTCGTATAAAAATTCTGCAAGTCATAAAAACACATAATTAGTTTCATGATATGTCTTCAACTTAGAATTCTGCACCATTTCCAAATCAGGAGTGATCACATAGATCCAGCATGGTTGAATCAAAAACAACAGAAGTGAAACAAAATGTGTTTTTTAATTTTGACAGTCTATGAAAAAGTTCTGAGGCAAAAACATAGAACTGGAGCATTGTCTTTTATTGATCTATGTAAATTCAATTCATTGTCGTTTAAATTATTGATTTTCCAAATCAGGAGTGATCCCATATATCCAGCATGGCTGAATAAAAAACAACAGAAGTGAAACAAAATGTGTTTTTTAATTTTGACAGTCAATGAAAAAGTTCTGAGGCAAAAACATAGAACTGGAGCATTGTCTTTTATTTATCGATGTAAATTCAATTCATTGTCCTTTAAATTATCAATCTTTGATTGGTCTGCACAAGAGGGTGGCATTCAAAAAATTGTCTCCAGCTGAGCCATGTGATAGAGTAAATTATCTCCCTCGTATTAGCCAATCAAAAGCTTGCATTTTACATTGAAATATAATAATACAAATTATTCCCTTGGTTTGTGGTGGTAACTGATAGCATTCCTATTTGTTTAGGGAACAAACTGATTTGTTATGACAAATAACTGTTTCACCTTGGTGTCTGGAGACAACTGAAAGCTTTCTCTATTCATTCCACCCCTGATCAGAATAATCAAACTACCCTTTTTCTTTCAAGATCAAAACACACTGTTGGATTCAGTATTGATCTCAGGTAGTGTTGTTCATATATCCAATCTCAAACATAAATGAGGACAAAATTGCTATCAATGCCATTCATTTTCTCAAGTCGTAAATCTGTTTCTATTCAAAATAATAAATTTTGTAGCATTCCTGTATAGTCACTATATTTTGCTTAAACAAATGAATATCTCTCGTCTTTATAGAAGTGCTAAGGTACATATTATTTTAAAGACTGTTTTTAAGAACTCAGAACAAGCTAACAACATGTTATGAAATTATAAATAACTGTTTAGAAAAAAATAACTTCAGTTAGAGAAATATATTTATAACAAACAATGCAATTCTATATGAAGAATAAACTGCTTCACTGAGCGCAGCTGGATACGCCTGCAGAGGTCCAACCCTTAACAGTTGGGGCAAAAATGGACACAATATTCAAGCTTGATACAAGTCTGAATTTGGATTGTAATTAAATATTTGACATATTATAGGTTTCTGAATAAATGTAGTCAAAGAACTTGAAATTGGTTATATGAATTGAATTTATATTCAATTAAAGATTTCTTGCTGTTGTGCAATAAACTGTGCTGTTGCGCAATACTTAGTAAATATGTTGTCAGACTATAAACAAATAAAATTCAATTAATTCTCAATGTCATATTAGAAATTTATGAAAATGTAAAGGGAGCTTACATCAATAGATATAACCAATTCACCAAAGTTTCATGAGAATTGCTGACAGCATTTTTGAGTTATTGTCCAAAAACTGGAAAATCCCCCCTTTTTTAATGAACAAAACCCCATAACTCAGAAATGATAAATGAAAAATTTATAAAATTCTAAACGGAGCTTACATCAATAGATATAAACAATTCACCAAAGTTTCATAAGAACTGCTGAAGTTATTGTCCGAAAACTGGAAAATCCCCAATTTTTTAATGAATAAAACCCCATAACTCAGAAATGATAAATGAAAAATTTATAAAATTCTAAACGGAGCTTACATCAATAGATATAAACAATTCACCAAAGTTTCATAAGAACTGCTGAAAGCATTTTTGATTTTTTGTCTGAAAACTGGAAAATCCTCCTTTTTTTATGAATAAAACCCTGTAACTTGGAAATGTAAAGTCTAAAAATTAAATATATAAAAATCGAAAGGGAGCTCATGTCAATAGATATAAACAATTCACCACAATTTCTTGCAAGTTGGTGAAAGCATTCTTGAGATATTGTCCGAAAACTAGAAAATCCCCCTTTTTTGAATGAATAAAACCCCATAACTCGAAAACGTAAAATCTAAAAATTTATAAAAATCGAAAGTGAGCTCATGTCAATAGATATAAACAATTCACCACAATTTCTTGCAAGTTGGTGAAAGCATTCTTGATTTAATGTCAGAAAACTGGAAATTCACCCTTTTTTTAATGAATAAAACCCCACAACTCGGAAACGTAAAATCTAAAATTTATAAAAAACGAAAGGGAGCTCACGTCAATAGATATAAACAATTCACCAAAGTTTTATGCAAATTGGTTAAAGCGTTTTTGAGTTAATGTCCGACATGTTGACGACGGACGGACGGACAGACAGTCAACGGTATACCATAATACGTCCCGTAAACAGGCGTATAAAAAATGACTGGAAAATCAGGGAAAATACCCAGTCTCCTTTCAATTTGAATAGATGATAACAGGAACACTTGGTTTCAACTGAAGCCTTTTGCACCTTGAGACATGTTTCCTCACATGATGTTTTTATTTTATTAAAATCTTGAACAAAGTTGAACAGTTCTTCTAAAATGTTTTACATGTACTTTATCTTTGTTTTGTGCTCAAATCTTTCCATACCATTAACAGCTGAACTATAAACCAACCACAAAATGTTTGTCCTTCTGTTACGACATACCTACAACAAAATCAGTTTAATTATGAAGAAAAGGAGATGTGGCGTATATTCAATGTGAGAACAAACCAATAACAAAAAGTTTTTTTTTTAAATACATTTAGAGGGCAACAGTCAATTGATTCCTATTATTTTAAGAAATCAATTGCATTCTGTTTAAGAGAAAATTATTGTGCATATATTTACTGTGCATTTCTGAAACAGCAATTATTATATGATATATTAATGCTATTCCAGAATTACAAGATTAAATTATGCAGTTCCAGTAAACCTTATAAATAATACCAGAAACATTTTTTAAAACAAACATTTGTAAATATTGTTCTTGTCCTATTGCACTGTAGCTATTAATAGAATCATGGCAATAATTTCAAAATTCACTATTCTTATACTTAGCTTTCTTTCAAAAAAATGCTATCCATGTCATTACATGTAAATTACGTATGTGTATGACCAATCTCTGAATAAAACATACTATAAAACTATGTGGTTGTCATGTCACAAAATACTTTTACAGAATAATATAATCTTATAGTATGTCTAACAATAGATCTTAACTAAATAACTATTGGTGCTCGACAAATATGTGTAAGAGAAAACGATTTGAGATTGAATTAATGTAAACCACTATTATAGATCTGCCGTAAACACCCTGTCTATGAATGGACAAACAATTTAAGAAGTTGACTTTCCTGACTTGGAAATTGTAAGATTATTAATAAAATGGAACTAATTATTTTGTTTTGGGTAAATTTTGGGAAATTAACTACATACAATCCTACAGAGTTGTATTTTCATGAAAAACAAACCTTCCATCATTTCAAATGTTGTTAATGGAGACAGAGGTCACACAGATTCCTATCTAATATCATATTCAAATTAAATATTTGGAGTAAAACTCACATTGCTGACTCTCTACTGCATCTAACATCATTTTAAATTTAGATTTAGGATTAGCTGTTAATGAAGATGGTGAATCATACTCCACAACCTGCAAACAAACATATCAGTGTCAATCAAAATTACCCTATAACATCACAAAACTAGATGTGTTGGAACGACAAGAATTGCCCGCTTGCAAAAAAAGCTTGAAGCCATTTTAGGAGTGGAAATTTGAGAATGAAAGTCCATATAACTGTTATTTCACGAAATTTTCAAAATCCAAAGCCTGTAATTTCTGCAAAAATCAGCTGAGCAGAATCAAACATTAATTCAATCTGTAACTCATCATAGTAGATTCACATACTAAAAATCAGCTCAATATGTGACGGCGTTTAGAAAAAAAGTCCGTATAACTGTTATTTTCATGAAATTATCAAAGTCCACAGCCCGTTATTTTCAGCAGAAATCAGCGAAGCGGAACCAAACGTAAACTCGATCTGTAACTCATGATAGTAGACTCACATACCAAAAATCAGATCAATATGTGAAGGCCTTTAGAAAAAAGTCTCTATAACTGTTCGCTGCGGAATGACGGACAAATGTAAAACTATATGGCCTGACCACTTAGCAGGGGGGCCATAAAAAAAAGTCACAATGCAACAGGAATTATACAGCAAGGTCACAAAAAATGTGTAAGGGGTTCCACAGAACCCTGTGTCTTGCCTGCGATTGATGCTGTCAGTGTAAAAGTGTAATGTTAACTTAAAAAGTGAGTCCATTTATCAGTAAAATACAAAATTTAAAAAAAAATCCAAACTTTTTCTTTAGATGCTATTTCATGGTCTTGAAGATTAGCTTCTGTCCAAGTTTCATAACAATCTGTGAAGGTTTGCAAATTTATCATGTTTAAAAAAGTTTAATCCCAGACTGACTGTAAAGGTTAACTGTAAAAAACTAAGTCCATCTATCAGAAAAAAAACTGAAAATGAAAAAAAATTCAAAGATTTGCTTCAGACATTATCTCTTAATCATAAAAAAGCTTCTGCCAAAGTTTCATAAAATTCTATGAAAGTTTGATAAGTAATTGATGTGTAACAAACTTTTACAGTGTAATAGACTGTATCTATTTGTTAACTGTAAAAAAAAACTAAGTCCATTTATCAGTTAAATATGGAAAAATGAAAATATTTATTTTTAAAAATGTGCTCTTGATACTGTCTTTTGGTCATAACTAAGCTTCTGTCCAAAGGAGTAGGTCCGGTAAGACACCTTTTTGGCCCCAAAATATAGCATTTTAAAAAATTGTTAAAAATGTAAACTTTTAGTGTTTTTTTTTTTGGAAAGTAGAATACTTTTGTTACATAAATATGGGCTTGTTTTTGACATTACACTGCACATGTATCAGGTTCTAGCATCAATAATTCATGCAAAATTACTGAAATCTTCACAATTTTAGCATTTGTGCTAATTTTAGACGGTTTTTGTCTAAAATGGAAGTGGTTGCACTTGTGTTCAGTCTTAATATTCAAATATATGTTGTAATTGATGATGATACATAACATATATAAAGGTTGAGACTGAACACAAATGGGGCCACTTCCATTTTAGACAAAAACATCTATAAAGTGACGTTTTGTGGCATATTTGATAGATTTTTCATATTTAAGCTTGAATTTGAGCATCTTTAATGACCAAATCAGTTCAAATATTTTACCTAATCTAATTGAATCAACTGAAGAAGACACTTAAGTGTTTAAAAAATGTTGAAAATCTTTCATAAGATGTACTTTAAATTTTAGGCCAAAACGAGCCCTTACCGGACCTTCTCCTTTCATAAAGTTCCATAAAGGATTGACAAAGTAATGGATTACTGAAAAACTTTCACCTCAGACTAAATCTGAATGTTAACTGTAAAAAAAACTAAGTCCACTTATCAGTAAAATACGGAAAATTAAATTAAATATTTTCCAAATTTTGCTCTGGAAACTGTATTTTGGTCATAAACAAGCTTCTGTCCAAATTTCCTAAAATTCCATGAAAGATTGACATAGTTATTGATGTCTAAAACAAGAGGCTCTCAAGAGCCTGAATCACTCACCTGTATTTCAGAGGAGAAGATTTTTAAATGTTAGCAAACTTGATGAACAAATTGTGTAAAATTGTCTTTAAAGGGCAATAACTCCTTAAGGGGTCAATTGACAATTTTGGTCAGATTAACTTTTTTGTAGATCTTACTTTGCTGAACATTATTGCAGCTTACAGTTTATATCTATCTATAATAATATTCAAGATAATAACAAAAAACTGCAAAATTTTGTTAAAACTACCAATTTGGTGGCAGAAACCCAACAATGGCTTGTTCGATTCATCTGATAATTTCATGGCCGATAGATCTTGACCAATTGAACAATTTTACCCCATGTCAGATTTGCTCTAAAAGCTTTAGTTTTTTGAGATATAAGCCAAAAACTGCATTTGACCCTTATGTTCTATTTTTAGCCATGGTGGCCATGTTTGTCAATGGATCAAAACTTCGAATACATATTATAAACAAGATACCCTAAGGAACATTTAGTTAAAGTTTAAAGGTAATTGGCCCAGTAGTTTCAGAGGAGATTTTTAAATGTTAGCAAACTTGATGAACAAATTGTGTAAAATTGTCTTTAAAGGGCAATAACTCCTTTAGGGGTCAATTGACAATTATGGTCTTATTAACTTTTTTGTAGATCTTACTTTGCTGAACATTATTGCTGTTTACAGTTTATATCTATCTATAATAATATTCAAGATAACAAAAAACTGCAAAATTTCCTTAAAACTACCAATTTAGTGGCAGCAACCCAACAATGGGTTGTTCCATTCGTCTGAAAATTTCAGGGCTGATAGATCTTGACCAATTGAACAATTTTACCCCAGTCAGATTTGCTCTAAAAGCTTTAGTTTTTAAGATATAAGCCAAAAACAAACTGCATTTGACCCCTATGTTCTATTTTTAGCCATGGTGGCCATGTTTGTCGATGGATCAAAACTTCGAATACAATTTATAAACTAGATACCCTAAGGAACATTTAATTAAAGTTTGAAGGTATTTGGCCCAGTAGTTTCAGAGGAGAAGATTTTTTAAATAGTTTACAACGACAGACGACAGATGCGAAGTGATGGCATAAGCTCACATGGGGCCTTTTGGGCCCCGGTGAGCTAAAAACTTTAACCACAAACTACCACCGCCACCGCCAGAATCTACGATCACTATGTCTCACTTTCGCGACTTAAATGTCCCAGGCTCGACAAAAATGGCCTGAAATAACAGGAATTATATGTTAATGTCCCAGGAAATGAACTGAAAGAACAGTATTAATACAGTAATGTCACAACAAATGGACTGAAATGAAAGAAATTAAACAAAAAATGGAGAAATAAAACAAATGATACAGTAATGTCACAAGAAATGGTGTCACAATATTACCATGGGAAAAAAGGGGAGAAGAAACCAGGGAGCAAATAATTAATGAAAGAAAAAAGGAAGAAAAATAGTTTAAAAGACACTGCATAGAAATTTAACCTTGTTGTAACATTTGAAACCATTCACTGATAGATCATGTTTTTTTAACAAAAAAACTTATTTTGACAAGGTCATTTTTAATTAACTATGTTTTATGGAGTTAATCTAACACAGAACATATCACAGTTAGGAAAAACACTTAACATTGACACTCATATTTTTAACCACCCTCTTTCCCTTGCTTTCTAACAAATATGGTTTACTGTTTGTGTCATGTATGTGCAAATGTATGGAAACAGAATCTTGAAATATAATCTCTTTTTTGTGTAACCATGGCAACAATCGGCAGCTATTTGATACAAAATATTGCAAAAAGGGGGTGAAAATGTCACAATAGTCTCTAAATTTGGTCCAAAGTAGAATTTCAATCCATTTGAGTGATAATTGACATTTATCTATCAAGAGGTCAAATAAACTCATATGCATTTCACCTCATTTTTCCATAAAATTGAATTGAAAAGTCTGAGCGTAAAATATTTGTTGGAAAATAAAATAATAATTTCTTGACCTCTGGGCGGTAAGGATGTGAAAATACGGACTGTCAAACAGAAAATGGCCTACAAAACATGTAAAAAACATTCTTCATGTTCATAAAAACCCATTTTGAAGGCTATATTATTCTTCAACTTTCTAAAAATCAATTTTATTGCACAATAACTTTCATATTTGAAAAATGCACCAGGGCCAAAATGTGAAACTAAACTCCTAACTGTGTATTGCTACCGAACATATCACAATTCAAAAACAAAAATCTTATCTAAACTTAGTATATTACATACCCGACCATCCTCCATGACTAATATTCTATTACAGCTAAGTACAGTGTTTAATCTGTGTGCTATAATTAACATTGTACAGTCTGAAAATGCTTCTTTTATTGTGGTTTGTACAAACGAATCTGTTTCTGTATCTATTGCTGCTGTAGCTTCATCTAAAATCAATATCTGTTGAGGAAACATGTTCAAATTAGTATAATATTGGTAAGACAGCAATCCAACACAATATATAAAAGTATAGCGTATGAAATTCTCAGGCAAGGCAAATTATCTTAAAAAAAAACGGTGGTACACTTTGTAAATAATGAATATTGAATAAAGTCTCCCCTTGCATATTTTATTATCACAAGTGCACTATTTAAATGTTCTCCTCTTTTGTTCATTCTTAAAAAATCGTTTAATTTATAAAAATCTTGATAGTTATTTTTGTGTATTTCTTGTCTAATTGATATATGATCAACGTCTCCTGTTATTTATACCACGTATCATACATCAGAACAGTTAGATTAGTTTTGATCTTCCCTTGCTATTAGACTCTCTGATTAATAACTGTCATTTTTCAAACAAATAAATGTCCCTGATATATATCATACCTTACTATGTCTCAATAAAGCTCTTGCTAAACACATTAGCTGTCTCTCTCCTACAGAAAAATTCTCTCCATTTTCAACAACTGTAGAGTCCAATTGAGAATCTAAAGCAGCTATCTGCAAACACATTTTTAAAGTTTGATTTTTGCTGTTATAACTGCTGTTGACACTATCAAATGTTTTTTTTTTATAAACACCTAATTGTGGTTTTACTGAAGGGCTTACTGGATTTAGTTTATTGTTTTTGCTTTCGCATTTGACAAGCTATAGAGCAATCCTTTAAAATTCATGTCACTTACACAGGAATCATGGAATATTTTGAACTTTTTAAAAGTGACATACAATTCACATTTTTTTTTATCTGTAAATCGTTGCAGCACTTTTTGTCCATTTTCCAATTACAGATTTTTGTTTCAAATTTTATATTTTTTTAGGAAGCAAAGGCTCATGTGAAATAGTTAACAAAAGCATAAGTACATCTAAAACAATAAAAATAGGGCTATTGCATGAGCTCGCAAGTCCAATATATATATATTTTACAAGAGATAACATTAACGGTACCACTTTTACTGCACCAGATGTGCATTTCAGATGGGTGACTGTTGCTTTAAAGATATGCTACATCTTTACTTAAGTGTAAAGATCTATCTTTAATATAACAGATCTTGAATGATGTATGTAAACAATACTCACTGTATCTTTTATGTGACACTTCTCTAATGCTTCCCATAAATCTGAATCTTTATGTTCTTGAAAGGGATCCAGGTTATATCTAAACAAACAAAATACCAAATGTTATTTCAAACATATATCTTATTTATTGAAAGCAACAAGTGATCATACTTATGATGTCTTCTTCTGAACACTGTTATCAGACCTGTAGCCAGGGTCTCTCAGAGGGTGATATTGGGGTTCTGGCACTCTGACTCTAATAGTAAAACTTCAACCTGAATCTCAACTTTAGTAGTCTTAATAAAAAAAAAACTTCTTTTTTTTCTTTAAAACTTTTTATTTATATCTTAGAGAAATGAAGGATTCAGAGCAAATGCAATGTGATTTCCATTATAATTAACCTATGATATAAGTTTCATAAAATTCTGGCAATAATTGTAAACATGAGAACGCTGACAATGTAATTTTCCATATAATCAATGTTTCCAAGGGGCCTAACTCTTTTAAAAATAATTGATCAGCACTGATTTTTGAACTCGTCAAAGACATTGGTGATATATACCTATAATATAAATTTCATAAAAATCTGGCAAGAATTGTACACATTAGAGTGCTAACAATGCAATTTTCCATATAATTAATGTTTCCAAGGGCATAACTCTTTAAAATGAATGATCAGCACTAATTTTCGAACTTGTCCAAGACACTGCTGATATAAACCTATGCTATAAGTTTCATACAGATCTGGCAAGAAAAGTACACATGAGAGTGGTAATGATGCAAAAGAGGGGCGAAAGATACCAGAGGGACATTCAAACTCATAAATCGAAAATAAACTGACAACGCCATGGCTAAAAAAGAAAAAGACAAACAGACAAACAATAGTACACAAAACACAACATAGAAAACTAAAGACTAAGCAGCACGAACCCTACCAAAAACTGGGGGTGATCTCAGGTGCTCCGGAAGGGTAAGCAGATCCTGCCCCACATGTGGCACCCGTCGTGTTGCTCATGTTAGTACAAACCAGTTAACAAGTCTAATTCGGTAGGTCACATTCGTGACAAGGGAATGGGATTGTAGTTACGACATTAGGAACATATCCACTATCATCTGTGAAACGGATATTCCATAACGGTGAACCAACTCTTGATGGCGTCCATAAAATTGACGAAGGGATGATTTCAACTTCACTATTTGGAACTCTTGGTTTAATAGCTTCTTTGTGAAAATTTTCCATATAATTAATGTTTCCACGGGCCACAACTCTTTTAAAAATGATTGATTGGCACTGATTTTCAAACTTGTCCAAGACATTGCTAATATACGCCTATGATATAAGTTTCATAAAAATCTGGCAATAATTGTACAAATGAGAGCTCTAACAATGCAATTTTCTATATAATAATGTTTCCAAGGGGCATAACTCTTTTAAAAATAATTGATCGGCACTGACTTTCAAACTTGTCCAAGACATTGCTGATATAAACCTATGATATAAGTTTCATAAAAATCTGGCAAGAATTGTACACATGAGAGCGCTAATAAGACCAGACAGACAGATGCACAGACGGACGGAAGACCAGTATTTCTATGTCCAACGCAACGCATTGCGCGGTGGACAACTAGTATTTTTTTTGTTATCAAGGGGGTGGTTCAGGGCATCCAAACACTTACCCCCTGGCTATGGGTGTGATTATAACAATAACAAGAATGGGCATACTATCATGCTAAGCATACCCCCAATCGTTATTCAATGTATGTGAAAGTAGGAAGTAAGTGTCTGACAGATCCTTTTAGTGCAAATGCATTACAACTTACCACTGATGAGCTGCTGACCAAATATGGATGTCATTCTGTTAAGTAACATTGGTGAAATGTGTGATAAAATTTTTTAAAGTTCATTCAAAATATTGAAAAATTTAAAGTAGGCAAACATGAATTAGGTGTCTGACAGATTCAATTGTGTTCACCCGCTGCAAGTCATCAGAGTCAAGCTGCTGACCACATATGAAGTCATTCTGTTTAGTAGTAGGTGAGAAATGTGTGATGGAAATATTTGTTGGACGAATTGTAAGATAAACAGACGGACAAGGTGAATGCAATATAGCTCCTACTTTGACTATTATTTGTAGGGATGTCAACTCAGTGAACAATTACCAATCAAGTACTTGTTGGTTTTATTGAGCGATACTCGAGTACTCGCTCGGTAATATATCTATAACACGGAAACACAAACATACGTATTTTACATTCTGTGGTTTGTTGTTCAACGGTTGAAAAACCATATACATAAGTATCTGGGATAAGGAATTACACACATTAATTAATAGCTCATTACCTACAAGTACTAATTAAGTAAAAAAACAATAATCTTATCAATATAATTTAATGTACACCTATTTAAAAATTATAACAAGGTAAAACCATATCAAACAATAGTATTTGGTAATCTTTAAGAAAACACATTTCATGTTTACAAACGCATAAGGAATAGAAGTTTAACTATTCACTGACGGATGCAACAAATTTATTTTATTTGGAAACATTTTCTTGTCAACTATTACTAGGGACAGTCGGTTTTGCAACTTTGTAAATTAAAGTCTTGCAGACGAAAATATTTGCTCTGACGGTACCATAGCTAAGACATGTTTAGTTAAAAATGATAGCCTAGGTGTAGCCCACGTATTTTCGGAGGTATTTTAAATGACAATTTAGCAATTGCATTCGAAACAAAATGTATTTTATTTACTAGTATGATTTATAAGTGATGCCTATTCAATTTTCCGAAAGAGGTTCGCAAGAAGATAAATTTAATATAAAGAAGACAGCAATATTCTAACAGGAAACCGAATAGTCAAGTATCGTTTTGGTATTCAATACTCTTTATTACTGAGCGATACCCGAATACTCGAGTACTTGTTGACATCCCTAATTATTTGTTCACTAAAAGAAGCATATTTTACTGTCATTTCCATGAAAGCTTTATATATACTCCTTACATTTTTTATAACTTTCACATCACATAAAAGTCAACTTTTGTTGTATATAAAAAATCAAAGAAGAGATAACAGCATTAATCTGACAGAATCTATGAGAGTTTCATATAAATTCAATACAAAAAAATTCATAAAATCATTCTTTTTAGGCAATTATTTCATTTATATTTGCAGAAAACAATACAAAATTGACATGATTTTCAACATCAATAATGTGACCTGTATAAAAGCAGGTACGAACCAGAACCTTGATGGGGTGTTTTATACAATTTGTTAAATGTATAGTTATAGATGTGGGGTATATCTAATTGAGAAAGCATACCATCAAACCTTTAAATAAAGACACCTAGATGGTAGTAAATATATCAAATAAAAAACAACTAAGATCCAACATTAACAAGTTTTTATTTGGAAAAAAATTCTAAGCACTTAGAGACTTAAACAAACCTACCTAATAGTTCCAACAAATAAAACAGGGTCTTGTGGTATGATGGCTAGCTTACTTCTCAGATCATGGAGACCTATTGTAGATATGTCTAGGTTATCTATAGATATGCTTCCTGAGTCTGGTTCAACCAGTCTAAATAAGGCAACACCTAGTGATGACTTCCCTAAAATATTTCATAAATGACCTGTGGCAGACAAAATATTTAGAGGTTGCAAGGTCATGATAGCAGCTGTACCCATGCAGAAACTTTTTTGTTTATGCTTAATTACAATTCAAATTATTGCGAATCAAATGAAACTTTTCCACAGAGTCATCTCCTATTGGTCAATCTATTTAAACTTTTGTCAGTTCTATTTTCCAATTGAATTAATACAATAGCTATTTTTCTTTGTGTAGTTTATTCACTGGGACCTTTAAATTTCTTCTAAGAGAAATCCATCATTCATTGATTAATATACCGGAGTAAAACATTTATCTTCTAAATAGATGAAAATACATGTTTAAACTCACAAAACTGCATGTGATGTTGTATTTATTCAATATCAATAATATATTTTCAATCTGTTCAATATAAACACTGATTTAATTATAAAAAGTTGATTTCTGACAAAATTTTTATCATTGTTCCTATTGAAATTTGCATTTTTTTGTTTAGTTATAGAATACATTTAAGATGGCCTTAATTTTAACATCGTCATTTTCCAGTTTTTATTTGTCAAACACAAAAAAAAAAAAAAATCCATTGGAACAATGTTGAAAATTTTTGTCAGAAATCAACTTTTAATGTTTGAATCATGTTTAGATAGATTGAACAATAGGAGATGACTCAGTGGACAAGTTTCATTTGGTTCGCAATAAAAAAAAAAATAAGACAATCCTACGTAAATATTAATAGTTAAATAAATATTTGAATAGTTGAGACTATCCCATGTAACATTGACCAAATATCATATTCCCCTAAGAAAATGGTGTCAAAATCATAAGTTCATATGGTTAAAAATTCATCAGTCAATCACACATTTCAATGCTTTCTACAGAGACATCATTTTCAATATAATGTTTAAATTAATTTCAGGCATAAGAATCAATGCAGAAAAAAAATGTTATGTTATAAATAATTAACAATTGGTACACTGCTTATCACATTTTACTATATAATCAATGGGCATGAGATTTTCCATGTTCCTGAATATTCTTTTTCTTGAAGTCCGAGAAATTTGTGGAATAAAACAATTATTTCCCTTGGTTTAGGAAGTTTTGAAGATTTGTTCACCCTCCAAATGTCATATTTCCAATTTTATTGGAAGACCTTATGTTTTAACAGTGTTTTTCTTTTTCATATCAGAGAGAAAAAACACCTACCTGATCCCGATCGACCAACTATTCCAACCTTCTCTTGAGGAAGAACATCAAATGATACACTTTTTAACGCTAGTGGTAAATTGTCTCTATATTTCATTTTTAATTTTTTAAATGATATACATCCATCTGATGGCCAGTTGTTGGGTGGACTTTGTCCTTCAATGATAGAATCTCCCTCTGATTCTACTTCCTGTAAAATACACATAATGAGCAATATGTTTGGAAATGTATATGTGCCTACAACTACACAAAGGATGCTAAGAAAATATGTTCAGTTCATAATTCATATGTTACGGGGATTTATTTTCAACTTATAAATAAATGAATTACAACTGCAGTTTGAATTGTAATGAGGTATTTTTTATTTGGAGTGAAACTATTGATGAATGTAGCCATGAAAACCTCATCTTCCTTCTATGTTGGCTATTTGATAGTATATATCTATTTTTTTATGGCATGTCTTATACTAAATAACATTTGAAGACCTACCCTGGAATAATGATTTAATCTTTCTACTGATGTAAACCTGGCCTCTGTCTCTATTGCCATTCTTATTGAAAACTGGAACAAACCCGTCATCTAAAACAGATAAATACAAATTGATGTTTACAACTGGAGATACTGGAATATCACTCACTTTGAGTAAACATAAAGTTGACATTTTTAATTCCATACATCAACAAAAAGATTCTCTTAAATCTCATTCTTCAATATAAAGCAAACATAAAAAAGTTTTTGATAGATTGATTGATTGGTGTTTAACTCCACTTTCAGCACTACTGTGCTATTTTGTGGCGGTTATTTTTTTTTACTGACTATCCTTGTCAACTAAGATTGGAGTCGAGCATATCTGCCATGTGTGGTTAAAAACCTTAACAATTCATGAGTGGCTATCACAGTAAGTATTATTTGAATTACCAGAAATATATGAATATATTTAACAAAATAAAATATGCCTTGTCTCTTTAATGCATTTCTATACAACAATTGATTCATAAAAATAAAGTTACTAAAGACATGAAAATCTTGTGAAAACAATGATTGGTTGTACAAACCTGGATGGAAAAGGCTAGTGCCATGCCTGCCATAGCTGGAGTCATACTTTCATAATTAACGATAACTAGAAGACCTGTAACAGCTATCACACAGGCACTGATAATATCAAGACGTATAGCTAACCACCGATTGGATGAAACGAACAGGAAATATGGAACCGTATTTGTGTCAATTAAATGATGAAATCTGGAAAAAAAAACATGCAAATTAATTAAACATGAAATTTTCTCTTCATAAAAACCATTATTTATTAAAAAAAAAGATGAAGATATTTTTTTAATTTAGCACAGACTTTCAATATAACTCAGTAAAATTGTTTCATGCTTTTAAAATTACACTAAAGAATTATTCCTTTAGGTAAACACAACATCACTATTTATATAAATATTAAGATATTTTTTTTATACAAGCTTCTTCGTTTACTGTCATAGAAATAAACTAGATATGTTTGACATGAATATCCAGGCACAAAGTAAATGAGATGTGGACAGGAACCATAATTCCAGCAAAATGTTCAATATTTGGTATTTTTCTCTTTATTCAAATACAATAAATAAGTGATGATTACTTCTTTATGAAAATTTCTAAGGTAACATTTGTCATATTTCAACTGTGTCTTTTGGAATCTGAATAGTGTTGTATATTGAATATTTAAGGAATGACTGTAATATTTTTTCTGTCTATGAAAAAATACACATCAAAAATGTGGTGCACACTGAATACGCGGGTTATTTGAAAGTGTGCATCACATTTTTAAGGTATTTCCAATAGACAGAAAAAATATTACAGTCATTCCTTGTAATTTAATTCTAAATTCCATTTTTAAGGAGTAAATCATGAAAAAACGTTAATGACGTCACGGTCACATGACAAAATTATGTCTATGATCTGATAGACAAAACACTTTCAGCCAATCAGAAGACGTGTTACATCCAAAATTAAATTATTCTAAATTAAAAAACATTGTACTTACTTATCTACAAATTCATTGGATTTTCCATATGCATGAATGGTTGATATTCCTTGAACGGATGCTTGCACATGACTTATCATTGGTGATTTTGTTACAGAATCAAGTCTTTTCAATTGTCTTATGCAGGCAGTAAATAATTTGTTTAACAATACAAAGAAGAATATCAATGGCACAAGAGCTATCAAAAACCATGACGAAACATAAGATATACTGACTAATGCAAAAATTATCATTAATATATTCTGTAAAAATATCTCCATATTTCCAGGTAGACGCACATCAACTGAAAAAGATTATGTATGAATTATATATTAAGTAACAAATTAGAAAAACAATCATTTGTGATAGGTGGCGTCTTGAACTTGTAGTGAGGTGTAAACATTAGCTCTGTGTTGAAGGCCTGTCACTTTCAGATGAAGAACAGCAACTGAAGCACCTTTCCTTTGGTTAGGGTAACGTCAAGTGTGTGTAATCAATTTAGATTCCTTTTTATGTTACTCCTTTTCTGTTATTATATCTCAAACATAATTTCTTTTCTGTTATTCAAGCTAAAACAAAACTTGTTTGGTAACATGGTAGTCTTGTCAAAATGTTAAAATCCTTGAGTAACTAAATGTACATACATGTTGTACTCTATTAATCAGAAATTTCAGGATTCATTTGAGATATCAAATATAGGCTGAGTAAATGTCAACGACATATAATTTTGTTGTATAAAATGTTGATCATATATATATATGTGTGATTATATCTGTTCCACTTTTCTTTATATCCTATTGATATGTCATTATAATGTTGACCTTTGTCTACAGTCTTTGTTTATCCTGAACTCTGGCACAGCTTGTCACCAAATTGAGAATCAATGTTGTATTTGGATAACAGTTGAGTTAAACATTTTTTATGATGTTGAGGTCACGTTGAAGGAATTGAAAAGTCAAAAAAATATGAAAAAGAGTTTCATACAAACACAGAGAATATCTAATTGGTAACGTAGCTTGTTTTAATTTAAGAAATATCTGAAATATGTCTTTTATCGATATATTTATTAATAGTATGGAAGCACATGTATTTGTTTTGGTAAAACACGTGTGTTTGTTTACATCAACACGTGTTTTAGAATACATGTAATGTTTACCATGGTTTTCCATTGGATGAAATTTGTCTCATTGCAGGTATAATTCTCCAAATCATACAGGTATTCTATGTAGTGTATGATTTGGCTCGTGTTTCTCATGCTTGCCGTTTCATATAAATTAAATGTAATTTATAATGTAATTATTTGAAGTTCTTCCTTATGCTGAGTACCATACTCCTTACAACTGCCTTGCCTCTATTAAGACCACCCCCAACCTACCCTCATCTAGCCAGATTATTGTTCTTATGTGGAAAGTAATGGTTATTCATAATGCTTTATATTAAATTTGTATTTCTTGTTTTGTAGATTGATGTATATTTGTATGTTTTGACTGGATGGCTGTGATTGAGCCTGTATATGTATCTCTGTTTTTATACACTTGTTATGACTGAGAATGAGCCGTAATATGTTTGAGAAGTAAAATGAACAGATTTTTGAGAAGTTTTATTATACATTAGATAATAAAAGTATGCTACTCTCACAAGGAGAGCTCATTTCTGATACATGTGTTGACTTTATTGTTATAATAATTTATGTTTGTGTAAGTTTGGCGAACTAGAACATAAATAATTTTTCATCTTTATTAAGGATACATCGTAATATGAAATTTTAGGAAGACATAATTTCAGATAAATGTTGATTACGGTATTTATTTTCCATAAATTCCCGCTAAACTGGTATATTTTTGCTTAATTGATCCACTTTCAAAACATACAAAAAAGAACATGTGCAAAACCAATCAAAGAATGTAAGATTGTAGTTGAACTATTGACATCATTAACAACGGATTTTAGTATTGATCTGTTTTATAATGAATATTAACTTACTTTCATCCATATCAGCAGAAAATCTATTAACAATTCTTCCAACTGGCGTTGTGTCGAAGAATTCCATTGGACAAGCTAAAATCTTGGAAAAAATATTATCATGCATATTACTGGAAGCATGCAGAGTCACCTGTAAAATAAAATTTAGTTTACTTATTTGTGTAAAATGGTGTCAATTTCAAACATAGGCAATTTTATTTAAGTGTTACTGTGAAAAAGGATATAATTTTGGTTTATTTTCATGTGGCTTTCTGGCAAATATAGAGTTAATGTGAAAACCAACTACCGTTACCTGGTGTTACATACTACTGTATGTGTTTTGTTTTACCTAAAGGTCCTTCAAACATTAATGTGATGAATATTATATGTAACAGTATCTTACTAAGGACGGCACTTTTTTACTTTCAAAGTTGTATGCTTTTGTAATATCTATCAAGTATGGAGTTTCTGTATACTTTCACTGTAATTGTTTACAATTTACAATTCTTTTCCTCATTCTGTTTAATGACAAACACAACTTTTCAAGTTGGTATTTGTAATTTTGTTTTATTTTAACACTCGTAAAGTGTTTTAAAATCATTAACAAATATTTTCAACTTCTACTTGATAATAGAAAATTGTTTTTCCATGAAAATACTGCAAACAATCACACACAACTTGAAATTACCAGAGGTCACCGAACATTTTTAACCAGTGACAAAAAGTTTTTTCCTGAATACCCGCAGCAAAAATAAGTTCCCATACTGATTATACACAGCCAAGTACGGTAGACAATTTACTATTTTCAAATATTTTGGCCTCGAGCATCACTGAAGAGACATTTATTGTCGAAATGCGCATCTGGTACCGTTTATGTTATTACTACAGTATTTGTCAGTATGAACAACATTTCTCTTATCAATATACATGGTTCTTTTATAAATGTGCTTGAAATGTTCCACACACAAACATATCTCAATTAAATGCAATTTCTGTGTTTTAAAAAAAAAAGGTGAAATTTAAGCTTTTAAATGGAAAATCTCAGTTTATAGTCATGTTTAAAAAACCTTTCAATTCTGATTAATACTTATTGTATATATTCATACATGTATATCAATGTCTTTAATGCAAGTCTCAAAACACTTTGCACCAATTTAGTTTTTTGGCCAAACAAGGAATCAGAGTAATATTGTTCCATGAACAAATGATCTTTACAACTATTGAAACCTACCTTCATGAAGATAACTGCTCTCAGTAGCATTAAAAACACAATAGCAATAACAGAAAGGCCATACACTGTAACATAAAAATTCATATCAGGATTATCCCTTATGTTTCTACTCAGGACTGTGACTGTTGTGATGTTAGTTGTATTGGACAGGTTACCTGGGAAAGGTATGGTAATGTTCTACAATGAAATAATAAAATAATTACGATTATCTTTTAAAAGAGAGTAATCTTAAAAAAAGTAATCAATATTGTACATATATTCCTTTTATTAATTTTTTCAACATTTATGCATTTTTCCAAATTCTATCAATTTTAAAGTAATAAACGGTCATGGCATATAACCACCAATACCTGTTTGTTCTTTTTATAGTCAGCACTAAAAATAATGAGAACAAGAATTTTCTTGTTACCTACACAATAACATTGGAACAGCCAACAACTAGTTGTCAGTTTCACCCCTGGTAAGCAGTACTCAATCCTATCAGATCCTGCAGTCAATATTTATTGTTAAAGTTTCTTTTGTCTAACAATAAACTGCAGTCTTTTTTATCCTTGATAATCTGTACTAGATACAACCAGACCCTGCAGTCCCTAAATACCTACTGAAGTCTCTTGGTCTAACCACCTACTATTTGCTTTATATCTTTGGTGTAGAAAGTATGACATCCTCTCACCACTTGACCTATTTGAACCATAATATTCCGAAGGACATGCCACTGCATTAAGATTGCCAGGAGTTCCTTCTTGCTTAATCAGCCTATTTGATCTGATGGATATGATGGCCACCAACTACTGGCACTACCTGTCTGTACCCTGATAATCACTTAAAGATCATATAAGACCACCAAGTAGTTCTGCATTTAGTCTACTCACCCCACCTCCTTGATCTAACCAGTACGATAGCCACCAGCTACTGCCAGTTTGGATTCCTATATTCAAAACAAACATGAGAACTGCAAAACCAGATATAATAACACCACCAGCAGCTTGTATATAATCCCAGTATGTCCTAAATGTCACTTTTCCCTTTCCCATCTCCTCTGCAACCATCAGCTTTCCTATAAAACAAATAGATTAGTGGTTAAGGTTCTTCAATAATGTTAAATACACACCAGCTTCCTATAAAACAATCATATAAATAGAAGAACTTTTAATAATTATTTTCTATAAATCAGAGCATTTACAATGACAAGAGTGCACATGCTGAAATATCCCACCTGCTGTAATAACCTTAATTGATTTTATGTTGATAGTCTACAAGTATCACATAAACTTAACATAATATCCATGAAAATGAGGTCAAGGACAGATACACCAAGCCAGACAAACAGTCATGTACACATTATAATCTTTCCATACACCAAATATAGTTAACCCTTTACTTATAGTCTAAGGAACAGACCACACCATTAAAACTTATTTTGACCAATGAACCATGAATACGAGGTCAAGGTTAGATGAACTCTGCCAAACAGACATGTACACCTTACAATTATTCCATACACCAAATATAGATGACCTATAGTATTATAAAAAACAGACCAAAACACAAAAACTCACCATTGATCGATGAACCGTGAAAATGAAGTCAAGTCTAAATGAAACCAGTCAGACTGACATGTTCACCTAACAATCATTCAATACACCAAATATAGTTGACCTGTTGCTTATAATATTATAAAAACACACCAAAACACAAAACCTAACATTGACCAATGAACCATGAAAATGAGGTCAAAGACATCAGAGATATGGCAGATGGAAAGTTTGTAACATATACCATCTGTATACAAAGTATGAAGCCTCCAGATCTTCTACCCTCTGAAATATAAAGCATAGTACAAATTGTTTATGCTCCCGCCACTGGATTGTAATCCTTATGTCTTGCATTCTGCGACTTTGGTTGCATGCGAGATAAAAAAAACAAGATTGCATGATTTGTCTTGCTAAGCATGATTCCACTTGTAATTCAAAGTACAGGAAATTAGGAAGTAAGTGTCTTTCAGATAGAAAACACTTGCATGTTACAACTCATCAGTGACAGCTGCTGAATTATCATGAATTTATACTTTTTAATAGTATTGGAGGAAAGTGTGACAAAAAATATTAACTTCCTTCAACAAATTGAAAAATTCAAAGTATAAGCAAACAGGAAGTAGGTGTCTGACAGAATCAAAAATAGGTCACATATCATAACCCACCACTGTCAAGCTGCTGACCAAATATGAAGTTATTCTGTTTGGTAGTACTTGAGAAAAGTGCGACAGAATATTTGTTGGATGAACGAATGAACAGACAGACAAGGTGAATGCAATATAGCCCCACTACTAGAGTGGAGATATAATAAGGCAATGTGATATAATGTTCAATGATACAACTATCCATTGTTGATCAAAGAATCGATCTTTAAAAGCTGTTTTTCATTACAATTTATATCTATATTCACAAAGGAAGTTACCCAATAGGTTTCCTTCGTAATACTTGTTTATTTGTAATTTGCAATTTTCAATCAAGAGAGATGTGTGCAACTTAGAAGTCATTGTTTGTGACATCTCTTGATTTGCTGAAACCATCTTTGTAAGAATGTTGGGATTACATGACACATACTACAAGGACTGATGTTTATATTCAGGTCACTTCCCTTTATTCAATGGTTAACATTAAGGTTGATCTAAATGTTGTAGTCTTCACTGCATATAGTTTGAGTGGAGATAATCAGGAAGCAAAACAGTGATAAAATTTAAACCATTGAAATTGAACATACATTCCACAGATAAAAACTCAAAGGCCTGCAGATGGAATCCTGTAACAGTACTATAAATATAATGACCTCACCTGCTTTTTTCATTTCTTCTTTATTACTAGTGGAAGACATGACACTGGCCTGCTGATTAAACCCGGGTCTGTGAGATCCTGATTTCTGTGAAGAATCAGAAAATGTCCTCTGTCTAATAGTGGTCACTGGCTGTGGTGATCCTGGGATGGAATTAATTCTTTCTATAAAAATATTGACTGTTAATTGCATGGTTTAAACCGAATAATTCCCCCAAAAAGTCTTTTTATCATTTTAGCTGATATTTCCTTTTTTGGACATTTTCATTATTTGACACAATAACACTAAAATTATTTAAAGTTTACCCATAAGCAAATAGTATTTTGAGTCCAGACCTAAATGCTGTCAATATATTTATATTGTCAATAATAAGGCTTTTAATTTAAGAAAGGAATGTACACAATCTTTATTCTGAATACACACTAAACTTGTCATATATAACAAATCAAGACAAAATCACCTCTGATATCATCCTCAATATCCTGGTTGTCATCTTGGGTATAATATGTAGTTATAAGATTAGCATATTCTCCATTTCTAGCCATCAGTTCATCATGTTTACCTCTCTCAGTTATTCTCCCGTTAGATAACACAATTATTCCATCACATTGACTCAGATACTGCAACAACATATATAGGCATTTCAATAGAAAATTGTATCTATACCTTTTTCGCTAAAGTCCAGGTGTTTGGTGTATATTTTTGTAGTTTTCTTCTGTTGCTTGCAAAAAGAAGCATTTTCATGTTCTAACAGTGCTTTAAGCTTAAACATATGCTGAGGCGGAATGAAGCAAAACAAATTTTTAAATTTGAAGATTTTCCATTTTTCTAGGTGATGTTCCTCGGTTAAGCAGTGTAAAGTTTTTGAGTTATCCTTCTTTGAGTGTTACCTGGATTTAAATCTTAGTGATTTATAAATAGAACAAAAGTAATCAAGTTTGACAAACAGGTAATGTGAAGGTGAGAAACTGGTTAGGCAGGTTAATTTAGAAACACTAGTCTTGAGATAAGGTGTTGTCAGTATAACACCTGGACTGTGTTGAAGTCAGATGTTGAAAACTGACTGGAACTTGGAGTTGGAGTTTGACTATTGTCAGGGCAGATATTATATCAGGAATGATCAGTTCAGGAGAATTCATTAATATTTTGTCCATCAGGACAATAAAGAACTCCCAGGTAGGTTTTGTCACACAAACACACCATGCCCCGCCCTTATGTCTTCTGTTTCAAATATTCGCACGAGATATCAAATTTTGTTTGTCATATTGTAATTATGGCGCGCACGGTTGTCAAATTATTACGTTTATTCGGGATTAAATCGGTCCGTTATTTAAAATTGTGTTTTGTTTCTTTCCCAGGGGACTTGTTGAGTTATGGAAGTATTTTAGACCATTAAAAGAAAGGAGTGATAAGTAAAATGGGACAATTTCCTATATATAAAGTTGAATCTCAGATGAGGATAAATATATACTGTGTGTATGGTTAACATTTGATAGTTTAAATGGAACAGATAGTTTTCAAGTATTAAGTATTACAACAACCTGAATATCTGTGTGGTTAAATAGTCCGTCAGTGAATTTGTTTCGGGACAATTACAATTTAAAACATAGCAGAAACTTGTTTGACAGTTTGTCTCAGAGACTGAAGTATTTAACGTTATGTTGTCAAAGTATTGGTTTTTCAATATTTGTCAAGTTGACGGACTGTAAATTTGAACAGTATAGTAATTCGGATCAATCGAGAACAACCTTTGAGATTTCTGGATTGATATAGACTTGTGATTTATGGACTGTGATGGACTAATTTATTTATTTACTTTTAATTTTAACTTTTAGTTAAGTGTATTTAGTTCGGTGTATTTGTCATTGTCTATGTGAGATAGAAGAGAGGTCGTGGAGAGGTTGTTTCATATGTGTATATTTATGTTTTGTGTTTGTCTTGTGGTTGTGGTATTATTAAATGCAAATTTTTATTTAGTTTTGTTTGACGCCCAATTGACAGATCTATTTGATTGTCCCCCTTACTAAAAGAACCCAGAAGTGAAAATTTCACTTCTTTACATTTGGCATCCACGGTGGGATCTGTCAGTAGGGTTTATACTAGTTGACTGAAATTCAACTTTGTCATGGACATGCCTAAATGGATGTCCGAGTTAGTAGAAAAAGGGGGGTCTGTTACAGATTGTCTGACCCTGTGGAAGGAAATACAAGCGACGGAGCGCGAAGAACGTGCAGTAGATCGTGATTTGAAACGTGCAGAGATGGAAAGAGAAATAGGCATGCGTGAACTTGAGATTAAGGAGAAAGAGATAGCAGTGCAACAAGCTCTAGGTGTTGCAGCACCTGTTACTAACAAAGGAGATCAGAAATATAGTAAGTTACCAAAATTTATTGAAGGTCAAGACCCAGATGTTTTTTTGAAGTCTTTTGAGAAACTAGCAGCCTTGCATAAATGGGCAAAGTCTGAATGGCCAGTTCGTATTGTGCCATTATTGAGTGGTAAGGCATACTCTCGTTTAAGTGATGCTGATGGTGGTAATTATGACAAGATTAAAGATGCAATTCTAAAAAGGTATGAGTTAACTGCAGAAGCCTACAGGGAAAAATTTAGGTCTGCTATTCAGGAAAAAGACGAGTCATTTAGAGAATTCAGGGTTAAGCTAGAAAGGTATTTAGCACATTGGTTTGAACGTGAGAGTGTTGGTAACAGTTATAAAAAACTGTTGGATTTGATGTTGCGTGAGCAATTACTCCAAACTTGTAGTAAGGATTTAAGGCTTTGGGTTAATGAGCACAAGCCTAAATCTGCTCATGAAGTTGTTGATTTAGCTGAATCCTATCAAGTGGCTCACAAGATTGAGAGTCTTGTATCAGATGATGCTTTCAAGATGAAACCTCAATCAGGTAATAATAGTGGTCAAACCAGAGGCTTACAGAAGGATCTACCGGTAGGAAAGAGTAAGGATTTCAGAAAACCGTTCATGTCTCAGAATAACAGTAAACCTAAAACTTGTTACATTTGTCATAAACAAGGACATTTGAGTTATGATTGCACTGAAAAGAAAGGTACGGAAAAAGGTAAGAAAGGTAGCTTTGGACTTTGTGTAGACAAAGATAAAGTTTTAGAGTGTGTACAAAGGAAGGATGTTGATGAAGGTAAAGTTGTGAAACTATCAGGAGTAGCTGTAAATGCAAAATTTGATGAAGGTAAGGGTCCTGGTATAGAAATTGTAAAAGGTACAGTTGAAGGTAAGCCAGTGTCAGTTTTACGTGACACCGGCAGTTCCACAGTTTTTGTACATGGTAGTCTTGTAGAAGGGATGGAGAGAACAGGTAAAATGAAAGATATCTGGTTAGCAGATGGATCTGTCAGAAACTGTGAAGAGGTATGGATCAATGTTACTACACCATACATATCTGGTTCAGTGTTGGCACTGATTTTAGACATACCATTTGCGGACTTAGTTATAGGTAATTATGTAAATATCTCTGTTCCTAAAGATGTATGCACTGAAAAAGTAGAAAACGATGGTAAGAATATTGATCAAGACACATGCCAGGCTGTACAAACAAGGGCCAAGAAGAAACAAGAAGACGAAAAAGAAGAAAAGATACAAATAAGTATAGACAAGTTAAATGAACATGTAACAGATAATATATTACCACAGGTAGGTAAGATGTATAGCAGAGATGAGTTAAAATTAGCTCAAGCTGACGACAAATCTTTGAATAAGGTAAGGAGCTTAGTTCAGGAAAATCCAGGACAACAGTCATCCTATTTCATAATGAAGTCAGGAATACTATACAGAGTATATGTGACTCCCAGTGAGGAAGAGATATATCAGGTTGTTTTACCACAGAAGTATAGGGCCATAGTACTGGAACTTGCTCACGATATTCCTCTTTCAGGCCATCTTGGTATAAAGAAAACTAGGGATAGAATATTACATCATTACTTTTGGCCAGGTATGTTTGAGGATGTGGCTATGTATTGTAAATCATGTCATGTTTGCCAGTTGAGAAGTACAAAAGGTAAGTCAGCAAAGGTACCGCTAGTGAGTATTCCTCCAATAGATGTACCTTTTCGTCGAATTGCTATTGACTTTGTTGGACCATTACCGGTTACAGAACGAAAAAATAGGTATATTTTGGTAATTGTGGACTGTGCCACTCGATACCCAGAAGCTGTTGCCTTGAGAAGCCAAGATGCAGAGACAGTTGTTGACTCATTGATGGAAGTATTTTCTAGAGTAGGTTTCCCTGAAGAGTTACTTTCAGACCAAGGATCAAATTTTAAGTCGTCACTTATGTTGGAAGTATGCAGACTTTTAACGGTTGAAAAGAAGGTATCCAGTGTTTACCATCCTCAGACGAATGGAATGTGTGAGAAATTCAATGGTGTTTTGAAACTTATGTTGAAAGCCTATGCTTCACTAGAACCAAAGACATGGGATAAGTACCTGGTATATGTATTATTTGCTTATAGGGAGGTACCAAATGATACTACAGGTTTTTCGCCATTTGAGTTATTGTATGGTCGAAATGTAAGAGGACCACTGTCTGTCTTGAAAGAACAATGGGAAGAACCAGAGGATTGCCAATCGTCTGTACTTAGCTATTTGATTGAAACTCGAGAGAGACTGAAAATGTTATCTGAGTTAGCACACCAGAATGAAATGAATGCAAAACAGGTACAGAAGAGGTATTACGATAAGAAGGCAAGATCGAGAGAGATTGAGGTTGGTACTAAGGTATTAGTTCTACTTCCCACTAGTGAAAGTAAACTTTTGGCTCAGTGGAAAGGGCCTTACGTTGTTACAGATAAGGTAGGACCAGTAGATTATAAAGTCAAGGTAAGAGGTAAAGAGAAAGTTTATCACGTGAATATGTTGAAAACATGGTATGAGCGTCCTGAAGCACTGAAAAATGAGGTAGAATTTTTAGCATGTATAGATGTAGTGGAAGATAAGTTTGAAGATGAATACATAGATGTAGACTATAAAGTAACTCCTCAGCTGATAGGTAAAGAAACAGTAAATGACGTCAGAATTTCAGAGGATTTAACAGATGAGCAACATAGGTTAATCTCAGAACTGATCTGGGAATTCTCAGACATATTTACTGATGTACCAAAGAGGACAGATCTTGTGCATCATAAGGTAAAATTAATTACAGATAAGCCTGTGTATAGGAAGCCATATCCTGTTCCGTATGCACTTAGAGAGAAGGTTCAACAAGAAATTGATGACATGTTGAAACTTGGCATTATTGAGATTTCGGATAGCCCGTATGCAGCTCCAGTGGTATTGGTGAAAAAGAAAGATTCATCAATACGGTTTTGTTGCGATTACCGGGAAATTAATAAAATTACGGAATTTGATCCAGCACCGATGCCGCAGATAGATTCTGTGCTAAATAAGATAGGTAAGGCAAAATTTCTAAGTAAGATAGACCTAACCAAGGGATATTGGCAACTTAGTCTAGATGAAGATGCCAAGAGGAAAAGTGCTTTTGTGACACCGATGGGTCACTATCAATTTACAGTAATGCCTTTTGGTATGGTAAATTCTAGTGCGTCTTTTGTACGTCTGATGAGAAAGGTCCTGAAAGACTGTGATGGCTTTGCTGATTCATTTATAGATGATATTGGAATTTATAGTGATACATTTGAAGATCATCTGAAACATATAAGGTTAGTATTACTTGCTCTTAGAAAAGCAAATGTAGCAGCTAGACCAAAAAAATGCTGTTTTGGATTCAGTAAGTTAGAATTTCTTGGACATATAGTAGGTGGGGGTGAAATCCAGCCTACACAGGATAAGATTCAGGCTATTGTGGATTTTAAACCACCAATGACAAAGAAACAGGTAAGATCTTTTATTGGATTTATTGGTTTCTACAGGAAATTTATATCAAACTTTTCCAAGTATTCTGCATCAATCACAGACCTCACTAAGAAGGGCTTGCCAAACAAGGTAAATTGGACCAGTGAACATCAGCAGTGCTTTGACAAGTTGAAATTTATGATTGCATCAGAACCAGTGTTGAGAGCGCCTGATTTTTCTCTTACATTTATTTTATGTACTGATGCTTGTAACACAGGCGTTGGATGTGTACTTGAACAAGAGTTTAAAGATGGCAGACATCCGATTCTTTATATGAGTAAGAAATTTTCAGATGCTGAGCGTAGGTATTCGGTTATAGAGAAGGAATGCTATGCTATAGTATGGGCTGTGAAGTCCTTATGGGTTTATCTAGAAGGTAAGGAATTTGTTATTGAAACAGATCATGCACCATTACAATGGCTTCAGAGAATGAAGATGAGTAATCAGCGATTATTACGTTGGAGTCTGACCCTACAGGAATTAAAATTTAGAATTTCGTATGTGCCTGGTAAGTTGAACATTGTGGCAGATGCGTTGTCCAGGTTGGAGAAATAGAAGTCCCCTGAAATACTCCAGGTGGTGTGTATAGTTGTATATATGTTTATGCATGTTGTTCTTGGCAGTTATAAGATTCTGTCTAAATGATGTAGACAGGTAGGTTATTTTGTATCGGGTATGAGAGAGTGTTTGGGTTGGACAAAAATGTTATTTTGTCTCCTTAGTGGGGAGGATTGTAAAGTTTTTGAGTTATCCTTCTTTGAGTGTTACCTGGATTTAAATCTTAGTGATTTATAAATAGAACAAAAGTAATCAAGTTTGACAAACAGGTAATGTGAAGGTGAGAAACTGGTTAGGCAGGTTAATTTAGAAACACTAGTCTTGAGATAAGGTGTTGTCAGTATAACACCTGGACTGTGTTGAAGTCAGATGTTGAAAACTGACTGGAACTTGGAGTTGGAGTTTGACTATTGTCAGGGCAGATATTATATCAGGAATGATCAGTTCAGGAGAATTCATTAATATTTTGTCCATCAGGACAATAAAGAACTCCCAGGTAGGTTTTGTCACACAAACACACCATGCCCCGCCCTTATGTCTTCTGTTTCAAATATTCGCACGAGATATCAAATTTTGTTTGTCATATTGTAATTATGGCGCGCACGGTTGTCAAATTATTACGTTTATTCGGGATTAAATCGGTCCGTTATTTAAAATTGTGTTTTGTTTCTTTCCCAGGGGACTTGTTGAGTTATGGAAGTATTTTAGACCATTAAAAGAAAGGAGTGATAAGTAAAATGGGACAATTTCCTATATATAAAGTTGAATCTCAGATGAGGATAAATATATACTGTGTGTATGGTTAACATTTGATAGTTTAAATGGAACAGATAGTTTTCAAGTATTAAGTATTACAACAACCTGAATATCTGTGTGGTTAAATAGTCCGTCAGTGAATTTGTTTCGGGACAATTACAATTTAAAACATAGCAGAAACTTGTTTGACAGTTTGTCTCAGAGACTGAAGTATTTAACGTTATGTTGTCAAAGTATTGGTTTTTCAATATTTGTCAAGTTGACAGACTGTAAATTTGAACAGTATAGTAATTCGGATCAATCGAGAACAACCTTTGAGATTTCTGGATTGATATAGACTTGTGATTTATGGACTGTGATGGACTAATTTATTTATTTACTTTTAATTTTAACTTTTAGTTAAGTGTATTTAGTTCGGTGTATTTGTCATTGTCTATGTGAGATAGAAGAGAGGTCGTGGAGAGGTTGTTTCATATGTGTATATTTATGTTTTGTGTTTGTCTTGTGGTTGTGGTATTATTAAATGCAAATTTTTATTTAGTTTTGTTTGACGCCCAATTGACAGATCTATTTGATTGTCCCCCTTACTAAAAGAACCCAGAAGTGAAAATTTCACTTCTTTACAAGCAGCATAACTTGGACCTTACTTCATGTTCTTTTACTTCTATGTGTGTTTTGCTCTTCAAAACTTTTGATCATTGAAAAGAATTGTTTAAGAAAAGAAAAGTGGATGGCTTTATAATTTATTGAATCACAGAGAAGGTAGAGAATAAATAAATATGGTTTGAATAGTGAATTGGTATTTTTAAGCAGATAGCTATTCATGAACACCTTTTGGATATTCCTTTCTGAATTTGAAAATTTAGTTGAAATGCCTAAGATATAAATTTTTGGATAAGACATGTCTTTGAAAATCTGTCGATCCCTATTTCAAAGAGCAACTAATGAACTTTTAATTAGAACTATAAACTGTACTATAAATAATCAAAGCACGAATGCGCTGTAAAGGCAGTTACCTACAGGTTTTGTGGTTTTATAGTCGAGATTAATTATAATCAAACATAATATTACTTTTCAGGAAAGGCTAACAACACCAGATATTTAGACATTTATCAAATATTATGGTATAGAAATGGTAATGCTGCATTGCATTTCTAAAGAACATATTATTGCATGAATATATTAATGCACTAATATCTTTTCAATTAAAATTTTACAAGCTACAGAGCAACTAAGGATTGATTTTTGAGAAACAATTTTTTTTTTTTATATAAATACTCAACAAAGTGCAATTGAATATTTAGGATCAATTTTGTGTCTAAAATTTAATGAGTTGTAATTTACCCCATAAATTTAAAATGAAAAGCAACATCAAATTTCAGAACATAATTGTGAAACCTACAATTAGATATTGCAACTGATAAAATCAAAGAGTTTAACAGCTTTAACATGTTTTAAAAGAGTGAAACAAGAAATCCTTGCTTTCTGCAACAAAGGATTGTAAATAGAGGGTAATACTCACAGCATGAAAGCATTGTATGTTACATGTAACTGATCAATAACAAAGATAACAGTTTTCCCTTTGAGGGCCTTGGTCAGGTATGCAGTAAAGATATGTCTCTCTACATGTATACTTCCTGTAACTGATGAGTAACAAAGATTACAGTTTTCCCTTTGAGGGCCTTGGTCATGTATTCAGTAAAGATATGTCTCTCTACATGTATATTACCTGTAACTGAGGAGTAACAAAGATTACAGTTTCCCCTTTGAGGGCCTTGGTCAGGTATTCAGTAAAGATATGTCTCTCTACATGTATATTACCTGTAACTCATCAGTAACAAAAGATAACAGTTTTCCCTTTGAGGGCCTTGGTCAGGTATTCAGTAAAGATATGTCTCTCTACAGGTATACTACCTGTAACTGATGAGTAACAAAGATTACAGTTTTCCCTTTGAGGGCCTTGGTCAGGTATTCAGTAAAGATATGTCTCTCTACATGTATATTACCTGTAACTGAGGAGTAACAAAGATTACAGTTTCCCCTTTGAGGGCCTTGGTCAGGTATTCAGTAAAGATATGTCTCTCTACATGTATATTACCTGTAACTCATCAGTAACAAAAGATAACAGTTTTCCCTTTGAGGGCCTTGGTCAGGTATTCAGTAAAGATATGTCTCTCTACATGTATACTACCTGTAACTGATGAGTAACAAAGATTACAATTTTCCCTTTGAGGGCCTTGGTCAGGAATTCAGTAAAGATATGTCTCTCTACATGTATATTACCTGTAACTGATGAGTAACAAAGATTACAGTTTTCCCTTTGAGGACTTTGGTCAGGTATTCAAATAAGATATGTCTCTCTACATGTATATTACCTGTAACTCATCAGTAACAAAGATTACAGTTTTCCCTTTGAGGGCTTTGGTCAGGTATTCAGTAAAGATATGTCTCTCTACATGTATATTACCTGTAACTGAGGAGTAACAAAGATTACAATTTTCCCTTTGAGGGCTTTGATCAGGTATTCAATTAAGATATGTCTCTCTACATGTATATTACCTGTAACTAACCAGTAACAAAGATAACAGTTTTCCCTTTGAGGGCTTTGGTCAGGTATTCAGTAAAGACATGTCTTTCTACATGTATATTACCTGTAACTGATGAGTAACAAAGATTACAGTTTTCCCTTGAGGGCCTTGTTCAGGTATTCAATTAAGATATGTCTCTCTACATGTATATTACCTGTAACTGAGGAGTAACAAAGATTACAGTTTTCCCTTGAGGGCCTTGTTCAGGTATTCAATTAAGATATGTCTCTCTACATGTATATTACCTGTAACTCATCAGTAACAAAGATTACAGTTTTCCCTTTGAGGGCCTTGGTCAGGTATTCAGTAAAGATATGTCTCTCTACATGTATACTACCTGTAACTAACCAGTAACAAAGATAACAGTTTTCCCTTTGAGGGCTTTGGTCAGGTATTCAATTAAGATATGTCTCTCTACATGTATATTACCTGTAACTGAGAAGTAACAAAGATTACAGTTTTCCCTTTGAAGCCCATGGTCAGGTATTCAGTAAAGATATGTCTTCCTACATGTATATTACCTGTAACTGATGAGTAACAAAGATAACAGTTTTCCCCTTTGAGGGCCTTGATCACGTATTCAGTAAAGATATATCTCTCTACATGTATATTACCTGTAACTGACCAGTAATAAAGATTACAGGTTTCCCTTTGATGGCCTTGGTCAGGTATTCAATTAAGATATGTCTCTCTACATGTATATTACCTGTAACTGATGAGTAACAAAGATTACAGTTTTCCCTTTGAGGGCTTTAGTCAGGTATTCAGTAAAGATATGTCTTCCTACATGTATATCTACTGCTGATAAAGGATCGTCCAATAAATATACATCTTTATCTGCATACAGAGCCCTGGCCAAACTGATCCTCTGCTTCTGGCCACCACTCATATTTATACCTTTCTCACCTATCTACAAAAGATAACAAGGTATTTGTGAGGGCCAAATCCTCATCTCAAAGTTATTCTTGCAATCACTATTGTCATTCTTCAATGCATATCAATCTATATGAAATATTTCATCTAAAAAAGCCGCTGTTTCAAGACGAAAAGGGTTTCAGGTTGATGCAAAAACATGTGAGAAAGCGAAATAGAATTATGATTTTGGATTCAAGTCTTGTCATTTACAATGTACCCTAAATAGGCCAAACATAGAAATAATTTTGGTGAAAGTAGACACAATTTCAATTACATAAAAGCATAGGAAACCCATAGCACAAATTAAAACCATTATTAAAAGATTGCATATAGATTTTCAATGAATTAGTTTAAAAAAAAAATCCATTTATATTTACTTCTGTTTCACTGCCAGACACAAAAGATTCTATATCTTCTTGTAAACAACAGGCATGGATAACATCATTGTATCTGAAAATATAAAAATGGTATAATTTATTTCCATGTATTGATCTTAGTATAAAGGAATATAAAACATCAAACATTATTACATAAGAGGTATTCCCTTTGCCTGTATCACACTGATCAGCTCTTCATAAAATTGCATATCACAGCATTGAAACATCAATATGCTTGCCCTGGCTTAATAACTTTGACCTGAACTTATCAAGTCCTCTTCATGTTTGCTGGTAAAACAAAAACAAAAATCATGAAAAATACAAATAAAAAAAGTCATCATATTGATATTGATATTGTCAGCTGATCAACATAATATGAAGCCTTTTTGAACTCATTTGCTGAACTCATTAAACAAAACGTTTCAAATTGTGACTAGCAGCTGATATTTCATAGCATCAGTTTGAAGAAATTTTATATCAATATTTTATTGTCTCTCAAAAACATAGCAGGGAATATCATTACTGTATATATTTACAATGTGTTTTTACTTTACATATGTAAACCAGTAAACATTTCGAAGTACAAGCAATTGATTAGTTTTCAAACATTTTTATATTTCAGTTGGACTTGTGAAGGAAAAAGAAAAGAGCATATAAAATATAAGCTTGAGGAATCAAGGGAAAAAATATATAAATAGTGCATTATAGTATGGTGTGACCTTTTTCAATGTGTTATTCAGTACCAAAATGAAGAGAGGACTATTATCTTTGATTATTCTTCATAAGTTAAATAAACTGTTATCACAGAGATATGTCTCGCCCAAGGGTCCGGAAACGGTCATATATGCCAGTCATGTCCTAAGATGAAACTATTTGTCCTAAACGAGTAATTGGGATTTAGGACAAATTTTATTTTTTTAAAGAAGTAATTTCGGTCATTTCATTGACTCAATGTTTGAAATCGGATTTCTTAATCGCCATTTTGCACTGTCAATTTGATAAACAAAACAAATCCCGGAAATGAATCCGGAATTATTCGTACTTTAACTTTATCGCAAACTTCCGGTTTTAACTTTTGTCAAATCGAAAGACACGTAAGCGATGTCTGAGAGATTTACCATTTTGAGTCATTAAAATCATTTTAATTTTAAACTATTGCCTTCCCTAAACTGTTCTTCATGGTAATGGTAAGACATTTACTTAGTAAATGCGATGAAACAGCAATACAATTTCGTTGATGCTATGAATCTAGTCAAGTTGACATCGACAATTTGGAAAGGGGCACCAACTTTTCAATCATCTCAAAATGACCGAAATTGTGTGGAAAAATTTCCGGATCCTTGGTCTCGCCTTTTTGTAATTTTGATAATGCAAATGTTGAAATTAAAATAGCAATACTTTAACATGTAAGTTATGCAAATATTCAAAGACTAAGGAACCATGACTGAAGGTACATGGCTAAACAATCTCCATGTGAATGAGATGTGCCAATGCTAATACAAATGCATACCAAATACCATTGACTTTTCATAAGTCGTTCCCTCTAAACAAACCTAAACACAAACATTAACTTGTAAACTATGTAAAAGTTTCAAAGTCAATGAACCATGATCAGGGGTGGGGCTATATAATCTGCATGGAACGATACTTGCAAATGCCAATAAATTTGCATACCAAAAATCATTGACTTAACATAAGCAGTTCATCTTAAACTGATCTTATCACAAACTAATACATGTAAACTAAGCAAAAGTTTCAAAGTCAATAGACCATGACTGAGGGGGCAGGGCCAAATAATCTCCATGAAAATGAGGTGTGCCAATGCTAATACAACTGCATACCAAATATGATTGACCTACCACTTGTGGTTCACCATAAACTAGACCTAATCACAAACTAATACATTGTTGACGCCGCCGCCGGAAACAGCATACCTATGTCTTGCTTTTGGACTTCGTCAAGGCGAGACAAAAACTGACTCACAAGACAAAAAAAATGGCATCAATACTGTGTTGAAAATCTATAAAAAAATATTCAGTAGGACTTGAGATATAAATTGGACATGTAAAAAAAAAAAATGAGAACTTGTTTTCAAAGCAATGCAACAACAAGAAGCTTAAAGCACTGCCAACTGATGCTCTCGGAGCTGCACATTGAAACATTGAATAAAAAAGCCCTTTAAATTCAAGAGTATAAAAAATACCTGTTCTCTTGGAAAGACAGTAAAACATGTACTATTATAAATTATTTTTCACCTGTATAAATGTGTTTAAATTCATAGTGGAATACCGTTGTATTAAAGCCAGTATTGGTATCGACAACGTATTCATACAGATACCATGTCGAAACTAGATCAATTTTTTTTATCAGCAGTGACCTTGACTTTTGAAAGCAAGTGGCTTCTTTCCCTATCCTAAATCTTCCATCTGTAAAAGTGTTCTTCCAATCAAGCCAGGGAAACCGAAGTTACAATCCAGAAACCATTTTTCTATTATTTGTTTTTCAGTAGCAGTGGCCTTGACCTTTGATCTTTTGCCCCAAAAATAAATAGGCTTCTTCCATTTACCTATATATTTCACATGTATAAATTTCATTCCAAACAAGTAATGAAAACTCATGTTACCATCTGGAAAACATTTTTTTTACCATTTGATTTTTGTTATGTTTTTTTTACTGTTTTTACAGTGACCTTACTTTTGACCTATTAACCCCAAAATCAATCGTTTCTTCTCCTTCCCTTTATCTTCTATTTGTATAGGTTTCATTCCAATCAACCATGTGAAACTCAAGTTACCATCCAGAAACCATTTGTCAAGAAAATTCTTTTTTTTGAGTAACAGAGATCATAAACAGAGATCATAATCTTTGACCTCTTGGTCACAAAATCCATAGACTTCCTCTCCTTCCCTACATTTTCCATCTGTATAAATTTCTTCCAAACAAGCAAGGGATAATCAAGTTACCATCTGGAAATAATTTGTTTCACACATGGATGGAAGGGATGAAAGACATAAGGATTATGAGAGATGGTTGGACTGAAGAACAAACAAAGAAACCCCGAACTATAGGCTCAAATTTTTTTTACAGGAAGCGGAATCTACAGAATAATGTAAAACAAAAAGGACTTAAATACTAAACTTCATTAATAAGCATGCATATTAGATAAGATTTAAAATGATTAAAATTCTAAAGTTGTTGTATACTAAAGATACAAGTTACATGTTCTCAAGTATAATTTCTATTCTTTATATATAAAACCTACTTTTTTTCATCATAAAGTTCTTCAAATAGAATATTATCTTTGACTGTGGCATTCATTATCCAGGCTTGCTGAGAGACATAGGCCAGACTACCACTTACACCAATCCTGCCTTCCACTAAATTCATCTGCAAAAAGTCAAAAATACGGCTTTCAAAACTTTGTCCCAGATGCAAACTAATCAAGAAGTCATCTTTAAATAATTAATTTTAACAAGATTGAATTCGCTAGACAATCATGAACAAAAAGCATAAAATTTTACTTCAAGATATTGTTCATCATATTATATACTATGAACCTTATACAAGAACATGACACCATGCCACGAACTATCACATTTGTATATTCAGTAAACTGTAAAAAACCCTAATTTAGCATGTAATTTCAAAATTCACTTTATAATGAACATGTTTCAAGATGGTGTGACCAAAAAGTACCTTAATCAAAATTTGGTACAGGGCAGATGGAATAACAGATAGGTCAACATAATGTCCCCTACTACCCGGTATCCTAAGCAATGATTGCTTGTCAGATCTGGAAATGGCTTAGGCTGGGTTTATACTTTGAATGCGATAGCGATGTGACTTACGACAAGATGTAACATGACGAGACTGCTATTGAACTGTGATGGGATATTTTTTATTGCAGTTTTACTTTGTATTCCAAGTGATAAAACCATGTTCAAAATCAACAACCCTTATCAAAATTACTACAGAGTTGAAATTATTTGAACTTGCTTTAGACAGCCTAAGAGTGTTTTGTCAAGGTAGCAATATCATCAGCAACAATGCAGACTCATCACATTGCTGTTGCACCCAGGGTATAAACTCACCATTATACAGTATAATTCAACATCTTTAAAAACTTCTGGATAAAATATCAAATCATACCTTTATACAAAAAAGCTAAAAAAAAATATATAACAAATATACTTGATAGATGAACAAATAAATGGACAGAGGGCAATGAAGGGACAAGGTCAATGCAGTATACCAACCATTTTGCACGTTAGATTATTAAACTCTGTGGATTTGGTATAATCAAATGAAATCTACTGAATAACTTTATATCAAAAAATAAACATTGATACAAATACAAATAGGAATACTCTATTTAACCAATTATCTGCCCTTCAAGAGCATATTACATATAATGATTATGAATAGGCATAAGTGATAAATCAAGAAACAATAATGATACTGTTAATGATAAAATACAGCACTTGTTTCTTATTGTAAAACAGCTATAACAAATCAAATAACAAATACAGAGTTGCATATTTCTTCATGTTCACATGAAAGAAGCCACATAAATCAGTTTTCAGTATCTAGATCTTTTAAATAACTATATATTTTAAAGCAGGATCAAACATAACTTGTCGTCAATCTTTGAAAGCTGAATATGAATTGATATGATGCATACTTACCCTGCCTAGGATACTAGAAATAAGGGAGCTTTTACCACTACCAACACTGCCACATACACCAATAATTTTACCCTACAAAAACAAGAAGTGTGTCATCTGTTCAAATTATATAAGCAGAAATGGTGAGGTCCATGTTTTGAAATAGTGAAACCTAAAAAAAAAAACTAAGATGAAAATTAAGAACATCATGTGGACAAGTCCATGTCCTGTAGAAGATTCAAGTTTGGTTGAATTTTGTTCAGCCGTTTCCAAGGATTTATTTGTGCATTAACAAACTAACTGGTATAGGCAGAAATTATTTACTTTGGATTGATTATAATACATGGAATACCAATTTTTGTGGATTTCATCTGTTCTAGCTTGTCCACGAAATTAATGTTCAATGAGTTGTAAATTTTCTAAAGGCTTGTATGCAAACTTTGGCAAAACTAAACGAATTAAAATAGTAAGTGCAAGACTTCATGCAGATTAATTGATTGATCTTTGGCTTTTTCATGGCAACCATCTTTTATTGGTGGAGGAAGCCGGTGTACCCGGAGAAAACCACCGACCTTTGGCAGGAAAACTGACAATTCCTAGTCAATTCAGATAGAGTCAAATGCACCTCACAGGTGCAGGGTTTGAACTCACAACCTCAGTATAGACAGGCTAGTGATATAGTAGATGAACTACTAAGACCATTCAGCCACTGAGGCTGAATGGAACCAGACCACTATGCTATAAGCTGGATTAGCACTTCCTGCAACCAAGTAATACATTTTGATGTTTGGTTCAATAATAACTCAATGAAACTGAAGTATAGCCATAATAAAGATGTCTCTACCTTTTCTAAGGTAAAGTCAATATTGTGAAGGGTTCTATCAGGAGAAGATGAGCTCTGGTTATCATCTGTATCTTCTTGAAGTTTCTGTTTCTCATCAATACTCTGTTTGCTGGACATGTCTTTTCCATTTGGAACATTAACTATAATTTATAACATAATAACAGATTGAGTACAACAAAAGAATAAAGAGGGAAATGATATACCATAGAAATCAGATGAAAAGGAAAAATACTAATTTACATAATATAATTCTTCTATGGTTTATATCTCTGTATAAAAATAAGGAGATGTGGTATGATAGCCAATGAGAAAACTATCCAACAGAGTTCAAGTGACGAAGATAAAAAGCAAGTCACTGTATGTTATGGCTCCTTTACCGATTAATATAAATAAGTTAGGTTATAAAGCTCCAGTGCAAAATTAGGAATAGCTAACCTTTTATTTCTATATCAATTCTGCCATCTTTTATTATTTCTATATTTGCGTTATCAACATCCCATGAAAATGAGGCATTTTTCATCACCACCATATGATGAGGGTTACTTATCTTGGTGGGATATTCTTTGATTTCTTCCATCAGCAGCACACTCTAAAACAGAACAATTCACATATTAATTACACAACAAATTAAATATACAAGTCACACGTTATTTTATTATCTTTAATGATTTAAGCAAATTATGTAATATTTGACAAATCTGCATAGCAAAATAGAAAATAGTCAAGAGCAATTATTTTTTTCATAAATAGTCTCTCAATACTTATCCTGTGCATTTTGACATTAAACATAAAATTTCATTTATTTAAAACCTGAATTATACAATAAAGGAATATTCATGTTTACATTTAATGAGAGTAAATAAAACTAGTTTCAAAGTAATATTTATCTACAATTTCAATTGTGTTGTTCTACAACGTTTATACTTTTGTTCCCTGTAACAAATGTAACTAATTTCATGACTACAAAGCTTGCTTTGCCACAACACTAAGTTAATAAAAGCAGGAATAGAACTGAAATAAAGATCCTTAGTAACAGGTATCATTTCATGAGATGTAGGTCCTTAGTAAAAGGTAACATTTCTTTAAATGTAGGTCCTTAGTAAAAGGTAACATTTCTTTAAATGTAGGTCCTTAGTAAAAGGTAACATTTCATGAGATGTAGGTCCTTAGTAAAAGGTAACATTTCATAAGTTGTAGGTCCTTAGTAAATGGTAACATTTCATGAGATGTAGGTCCTTAGTTAAAGTTTACATTTCATGAGATGTAGATCCTTAGTAACAGGTATCATTTAATGAAATGTAGATCCTAAGTAAAAGGTAACATTTCATGAGATGTAGGTCCTTAGTAAAAGGTAACATTTCATAAGATGGACATCCTTAGTAACAGGTATAATGACATGAGATGTAGTTACTTAGTAAAAGGTATTATTTCTTAAGATGTGTGTCCTTAGTAAAAGGTAACATTTCTTTAAATGTAGGTCCTTAGTAAAAGGTTTCATTTCATGAGATGTAGACCCTTAGTAAAAGGTAACATTTCATGAGATGTAGTTCTTTAGTAACAGGTTTCATTTCATGAGATGTAGACCCTAAGTAACAGCTATCATTTCATAATATGTACATCCTTAGTAACATGTATCATTTCATGAGATTTAGGTCCTTAGCAACAGTTTACATTTCATAAGTTGTACATCCTTAGTAACAGGTATAATGACATGAGATGTAGTTACTTAGTAAAATGTATTATTTCTTAAGATGTGTGTCCTTAGTAAAAGGTAACATTTTTTTTAAATGTAGGTCCTTAGTAAAAGGTAACATTTCATGATATGAAGGTCCTTAGTAACAGGTTTCATTTCATGAGATGTAGACCCTTAGTAAAAGGTAACATTTCATGAGATGTAGTTCCTTAGTAACAGGTTTCATTTCATGAGATGTAGACCCTAAATAACAGCTATCATTTCATAAGATGTACATCCTTAGTAACATGTATCATTTCATGAGATTTAGGTCCTTAGCAACAGTTTACATTTCATAAGTTGTACATCCTTAGTAACAGGTATAATGACATGAGATGTAGTTCCTTAGTAAAAGGTAGCATTTCTTTAGATTTGTGTCCTTAGTAAAGGTATCATTTCATGAGATGTAGGTCTTTAGTAAAAGGTATCATTTCATGACATGTAGATCCTTAGTAACAGGTATAATGACATGAGATGTAGGTCCTTAGTAACAGGTTTCATTTCATGAGATGTAGATCCTTAGTAACAGGTATAATGACATGAGATGTAGGTCCTTAGTAACAGGTATCATTTCATGAGATGTAGATCCTTAGTAACAGGTATAATGACATGAGATGTAGGTCCTTAGTAACAGGTATCATTTCATGAGATGTAGATCCTTAGTAACAGGTATAATGACATGAGATGTAGATCCTTAGTAACAGGTATCATTTCATGAGACGAAGGTCCTTAGTAACAGGTAATGGGAATATAACTGAAGGGTGAAACCTCATATTCAGTTTGAAAATGTAATGTGGTTATACAAATGCAATATCATACCAAATATCAATGATCAGTATAAGTGCTTCTTCATAAATGCATCAAATAAAAATAATACTGAGGAGTAAAGCCCCACATTCTTTTTGAAACTGATTTGTTACTACTCATTATACAATTGTGTACTAAATATCTTCTAAAGACTTGAGAAAAAGGCTAAAAATGAAGTAACACATTGATTTTCTTGAACACTAGACAAACATATTTCAGGTGTAAACTTTTTCTAACATTTTTTTGTGTAATTTTTTTAGGGAGGGTTGTAGTAAGTATTACCTTTATCCTCTCTGCCGTTATAGAAACTTCAGATAAAGTTCTAACAAGCTTCGCAGCTTGTGCAATACTTCTTTTCATTGAGTTAAGAATTGCAACTAAAACAAATGCCTACATGCAAAAAGGAAGGTCTTTTAAAATTAGTCAAGCCAATATCCACAACCAGCATTAAATTAAAATTCTCAAAGTAGCAATTTCCTGTTATCAATGATAACCAATAAATGTTTACATGATATGCTTCCTACTATTTTGGGCATTTTTGGGGGGATTAAGCTATGGACAGAACTTCTAATATGCACCCTCATCTTAATTCTATGCCAAACAATATGATTATATTTACCAAAGATTAGTCAGATAGAACAAAACCTAAGACAGTAACAATTAATAATGTTAAATCGTGATTAACTTATAAAAAGAAAGGATATATAGCTGTTTTGGTAAAAAAAAAAAGATTGAGTAACAAGTACATGAGTAGGGTCAGGGGAGCTTCATGCCTAGTACATGCTTTAACTTAATAACAAAATGTCTATGCACCCATATGATATAACAACTGCATCTTACCAACAGAATCTTGAACAACAGTTTTACAAAAGCTAGTTTGAATACAGTATTCTATTAGTAACAGTACTAACTTGACAATAAAGAGCTTTCTTTAGAAAAAATGGTCCATGAAAAAAGCATTGAAACATAATGAAAGATAAAACCTGAACACCAAATCTATTAAAATAAATTTGTTCCTGGACTCTTAATTTTGTTCTTTTTTTCAGAATTGCTTAGGTGGTCAAATGCATGCATCTCAGAAGTTCTGCTTATAAAAGATGTAGGAGATAAGTGCATGATGTATGCATCGTTTATGAAAAATTTAATTAATTACAACTAACAATTTGGAAAAAAATGTCATCAGCGGCTGCCACTCTTACTATTAAACCATGAACCCCTTTTGTGGGTATATAGACAGATCCCACATGCATAAATATTAACATATAATGGTGTTCAACTTTTCAGTCCATTGTTACTTTGACAATACATCTTCAAAACCAAAGAGCTCAACCATATATACCAATGCATGTCACTATCAATGAGAGAAATATTTATAAACTATAAGACAATGAGAATATTATTGTTGTTAACAATGAAAATAGTTAAGTCTGAGAATGTATTGGGAAGGTAAAAGGGATATTGCAAATAGTTAAGGAGGCAGGTAAGAAGAAAATTGCAATTATGTGACTGTGACAGCAAGGTACATGTGATCCAGTAGTTGTGGTTGGTCCCTGTATGTCATGTTTATTTTTGCTTTTTGCAACATCCAATAAATAATTATAATGGTAAAAACTATGAAATCTATGTTAAAAAAGAAGTTACTGTCATTATTCCAAAACAATGGCCACCTTATTGTTAACCAACATCTATAAATTAAAAAAGTCAACCAATGGTAATCAGTTTTTTTTTTCAAAATTCAAACAATTTATGCAAATATATCTGCTGTATAATTTGAACTGATCCTATGACAGCAGAAATCTGATATATTCTGAATTAGACAAGGACCATTCAATCACTGAAAATGCTGCAGTTTAATTTCATGGCAGTGATAACTAAGGTTAAGCAGATAACTGTGAGATGTACCTATCTATCTACATCTAGAAGAATGAAGATGTCAACCATTTCTATTAATAATAAATTTACTTTCCCTGTGTTAAGCTTTATCAATATCTTACTGTTCTTCAATTCCTAGCCAACTATTTTAACATTTAAATTACTACAAACAACTTTTTTTTCTAAATAAAAAAAGCATGTTAGTCTGTGAGCAAGTTAACCCTGACACCCATAGAAAACCTACATTGATTTAAACTAATCAAACAAAATCAAGGGGCCTCGGTGGCCGAGTGGTCTAAGTAGTCGAACTACTGAATCACTAGCCAGTCAACACTGAGGTTGTGAGTTTGAATCCCAAAAGTGGCAGGTGCACTCGACTCCAATCTTAATTGACTAGAAATGTCAGTTTTCCTACAGAAGTTTGGTGGTTCTCTCTGGGCACTCCGACTTCCTCATCAATAAAATCAAATCAAATCAATCAAACAAACAAAATCGTAGGAGATTTATTTCAAACTTAGTGATTGGAAATAACAAAAAAATCCATCATATGGGATTTTGTTTCAAAGCTTCCAAAACGTTCGTATTGTTTAGACTTCTTGTTTTTTTTTTTTTTTTTTTTATTAAATATCCTGTCATCAAAACAGTTACTTACAAGGGTTAATTTGCTGTGGTTTGTCTGTTAATCTGACAGGCAAAGTAGTAATGAATATCATTAATCTTTTAATACTTATTTCTCAAGTGAAACTGGTTTGAATCATAATTTAAGCATACACGAGTTAGCTTGTAAAAACTTGATCAAATTAAAAAAGGTTTTCAGTTCTTCATTTTGATAGCTGCTGATGAGATCTACACTTTACAAGAAGAAGTAAAACCCAAAAATGAACAGTATCCTTTATTTCTTCTTCCTAAAACAATCACATGTGGTATTAATATGTTTTAAATAAACAATAATTATTTCTAGTTGCATGGAGACAGATAGAGGGAGGTAGCATAGGAGAGGTCATTGCAGCAATAGTGAAAATCCAAGTTGAACTTAAATATAATAGATTAGATTTTCCCTCTTAAATTCAAATACACATACTGGTCCAGTACCAATTATGGTCAGTGTAACTTCACAGTTTTTCTCATTTTTTTTAACAGGAACTCTGGTTGGAAACATTCTTGTAACATATAAAGGG